GTTCTGTGGCGAAAGGGCTGGCAAGCTAAAGGATTTGGCTTCACTTTAAGAGGTACTGACAGGTCTTCTTGCCAAGGCCTGTTGACTACTTTTAATTAAAAATGATAAGAAATGTTGAAATTAATTGTGGTGAATCATTCTGCTTATTGAAGAAATGTAAGTTATTGGGCAAGTATAAATCTACCAGTGTTGAACTTCTGTCACTATTATTAAATGTTGCAGTCTGATTGGCTACAATACTTGCAATATCTAGATCTAATCCGTAATAGATATTGAACAAAGTGAACAGCCTGCCAGTGTGAGATTGTGAATAAAATAATATAAAAAAACATCAGCATGTCTGGTTGTGATTTTTTTCTCTTGATCTCTAGGTGTGATAGTTGGTTAGGGCTTTCTCCTCAACCATAACACGATAGAAATCTTTCACATAATCTGATTGTTCAATATGACTGGATGCTTGCATATGCCACATAATAATTCAAATAATTCATTCATCCATCATTATTTACATCATGCTTTTCCTTCCAAGGTGACAATGATTTTAAGCTTGAAGAGTTCTTAGCTGGAACACCAGAAACATTTGAGCCACATTATGGTAAGAGGAAAAATTTTGAGATTGAAGTAATGTTTCTCTCACGTGGGGAAGTGTCTCCCAGTATTTGAAGTTAATTTTGAACATACTTTTGCATACTGAATAATTTGAATGTACTTTAGGAGCAAATGATGATGGAGACATCTTCAATGAAGATAATCTGATTGAGTTCAGAAGATTTGTGATGGAGTCAACTGATAACAAAGGAGTTCATTTTGTGATGGCAGATGGTGTAAGTTAATTTCAGAACAGATTGTTTTGACAATTTCATGTTGATATCAACCTGGATCTTTGTGCAACTGATACTGATAAATACATATGGCACAGTGTTAACCCTTTAGCTCCCAAGATCTCATTAGTAACTCTCCTTACTGTGTCCCATACAATTCATATGAAGTTAGTTTGGAGAATTTGGAATTGGATCAACAAGTAATCCCCTAATTGATGTTTTTCTTTTTTCTCATCACTTGTCTGCTTGATATCATACTGATAGTGTAAGGAGAAATTCTTTCTAAGTCACCAGTGGGACTTAAAGGGTTAAACAGCCATTTTTCATGCCTCTTACTAACTGAGTTGAAGGTCTGTACCATAAGTTACAAAAATACTTTTTATGCTCAGATTTATGGCCTAAGCATGAAGTGTGCAGGCTTTAAATCTGAGTGGGAAAAGACAAGGTTCCATACAAACAATATTTAATCTCTGATTTCAATCAGGGGGGGAAAATTCCAATTCAAACAAACTTTATAATACAGTGGGCCATATTGAGATATATATCCAGAAAAATCAACAATCATACCATACATTAGACAGATAATGATTCACTCAACAAGCTCAAATTTTTCCATTTTTTTACTTTATCACTGCTCTGAGTACTTTGGATACTGCTGGTTTTAGCATGCATGATTCTCCACACATAAGATCCTTCTACTAATACTAGCATGCTTACAAATTCTCTGCAGCTGGAATGTTTGAAGCTCAAAATTACAAGGAACTCAAGCCTTTTTCTTCTCCTCAACTTGTGACCATTTTTTAACACACACTCTCTTCATTCATGTAAGATTACTCTTTTTTGTTGGCAGGGTTTCTCTGTGGAAGGGCAGGAAAATATACAAGAGATTCTCAGCAAACAGTTGTATTTATGCCAATTCCTTTGTGCAATATCCATACTAAGACAAGGTAAGGAATCTTTATTCCTAATTCATTGAACATGGCCGGTCAATTTTTCAGAGAGTGGCTTATACAGATTTACAATGAAACAGCTCTAATTTTGTCATACCCTCTCTGATTTTAAGGAGGCCACTTTGTCTGCAAGTTGTTTGACGTGTTCACTGCGTTCAGTGTTGGTCTTGTGTACCTAATGTACCGAGCATTTGATGAGGTATATGTCTTCAAACCTGTAACCAGCAGACCAGCAAACTCTGAGAGGTATGTGTTCAAATAAACAACAAGCAGTTCCTTCTTTCCCAGTCATTAATGCTTTGCTAGCATTCCATTTTTTAAAATTTTTTGTGCAGCTGTCGTTGTTCTACATAAAGGGGTTTTATTCAAGGTTTTTCTGGTTTCTGACACAAATTAAATCTGGATTCAGTGCGGACGAGGTGAATGTTATTCAATGTGCGACTTCAACTTCTTAGAACCTTTCTTAAAGAACTATGTGACAAACAGTAGTGAGAATTGATATTTTGAACTGGTTTACTTAAAGAATGTAATATTTCCTTCATATAGATATCTAGTATGCAAAGGTCTTCGTGGAAACATTGAAGCTGTTCATGAGCACATGTTTAATGTGAATGTCAGAATTAATAAATTAAAAGCTGGAGCTGTGGAGGATGTAAATGAGGTTTGCTATTCAGTTTAATGTTACTGTTTTGAAAATACAGTACTGCTTAGATATATGTTAACCAATAAAAATGCACATAAAATGTGCCAAAAATTGCATGCTAGTGCAAACAATAAAAAATGTGCATGTCAAAAAAATCACACATGCGGGCATAAGCTTGATACATCTACCTAATTAGCATGTAAGAGTTAGGCCTTTTGTTTTTCTATTGTGGATGGTTTATCATTTTAAAGAATAGGATGTAACTTTAACTAATGTGTTAGGGGTTCGTAACTTACTCTATGAACCAAAAACATGAGAATTATCATATGATGAAATATTTATTTTTAATAATGTGCCCACTATGACTGACGCACATTGAAAGGAGAACAAGTAAGTTAGAGATCAACTTTTACTTCAGATGTAAGCACTTTTTGCTGTAATGCGCAATATAAAGAAAAGAGAAGAATTTTTATTTTCTCGAGCAAGTTGAGAACTTGATCGGCTGTAAAATAGGATTTTAGCAACAAGAAAAACACTAAATTTTGGCCAGTCATGTACAGTAGTAGAGTATGGTCCACTAAATTCACCAAAGAAAGCCTTGTACAGTGGGATATAAAACAATATTAAGTGTTGATAACCTGTGCTAAAAAGGGAAATGAACATCAAGTGTTATTATTTGGCTTTTCAGATTGTCCCATTGCATATCCTGAAGGAAGATGAAGAGTTCTTGTCATATATGATTGAATCAAATGAAAGGTATGTGGAACTTGCCTTTACCTTTGACATCTCAATGAAACATGAATACAATACTGTGACATGAACTGCTTGGAAAACAAACAACATTTTTGTGTTGTACTCTCTGATTTGTTTTAGAATTGGAAGGCAACAATTCAATGCACTGAAGAAACTAAGAGGTTATGTCCAGGATACGTAAGTTTTGAACCTTTGATTTTATTTCCCTCATAATGATACAGGAGGTTATTAATTCTTAGAAAAAGAAAAAAAATGTCACTAATGGGCTACAAGTCCATGTTGGGAATGTGTCCTAGAGCAAAGTTAAGTTTCTCAAGTCACAATGCACAAGTTTTTAAACATGAATGTATATATAATGTATACAAACTCACCATGAACAGGATATGCTTGATTGTACTCAGTTGCACAAATCTGTCTATCAAAATCTTAACTTTGTTTGGCTCCAATCTCCAACATCCTATCATTTTGGTGGATCCAGAGGTGGTGGGGGAGGGGGGGCCTGCAGGTTCTGGACCCCCCTTCCTTCCCATCAATCATGTGGGTTTGTTCCTTACCTGAGACCAAAATTTGTGGACTAGGATTGTGGATTTTCAATTGTTCCTTGTTTCAGTAACTGAGTTTGCTTCTTAGGACATTGATGGGTCCTTACGACCAAGGGGATGTCAAGAAAAAGTGTTTAAAGCAGTGGAAGGTAAGAGAACTTGTTTTACTACAGAAGGAGAACTGCAATGATGCAAAAATCTTCCACTCTGAAACCCCATGGAAAATTGTCCTAAGGTACAAGAGCCACTCATTGCCCATCTTTTACTTTTGAAGAGGCGCTTTAAAACTATTAAGTGTCTTGCCATGGACACAACAGAGTCTCTTGTAGCCTGTCACCCATTGTCTGTAGCCCTGATTTTCCTCCACTGTCAATCGTCACCCATCACTCATGTCCTGACTCTCTGTTTCCTTCTCCTGAATCCCCTACCTACAAACCTTCCTTGTGCATCCATAGCTTTTCCCATACAGTAATCCCCAACCATTAAATAAGGTATATGTTTTTTGCAATCAATTTCAGGTTCCTGAGCAAGCCCGCGCAGCTCAAAGGATGCCAGATCCTGATCTTAAATTTGATGAGCTTTGGAAGGTATTTAGATTTGTTTTTACATGAGGACCTGCTGATTAATTTTGTTCAATTTTTCATATCATTCACCAAATTAGTTTTCCTTTTTTCTAGGGAAATGATGATGATCATTGCTTTGACTCTGAAGCTACAGTGTTAACTTCAAGGAACATCCAAAACCTTAAGTGTCTGTACAACTACAAGTGCTTTGTGTCAGGAGGGGGAAGGTTCTTTCTTATGGGCCTTGGGGTAAGTGTCATGTGGGGAATGTCATGCACCCATTTGCCATCACCCTGTCACGTGAGCATGTCACCAGTGGGCACTTTGAACATCCCTTTTTTTCATAGTCTATTTGCCAAGAGGTCACAGTTATTTCCTCAATAACTCACTTAAAATTTTCCTTTTTCGATAAAAATATTAGTATATCATTTTATTTAAGGATGAAAGAATTTTTTCATTCTGATTTTTAACCACAAAGAAAACAAGCTAAAGATGTGATGTATGAAAGATAATTTTTAATAATATTGAGATGAAACATGGTTGAGAGTTTATGGGAAATCTTGTTGATATAAAAAGGTGTGTGAAAGAGGAAAAATGCTTAGTCAGAAGTGATCAAAATTTTGCTCTTGTTTACAACTTCAGAAAGTTATTTAATAAACAGAAGATGAGTTGGGAGTGTTATCTTGATCTAGCACCAAATTCTTTCAACTAATTTGCAAGGAAATTTATAGCAACTTGAAAGGGGAATTAGGACTCAGATACCAGGTTTATGTTGATGGTAATGAAGGAACAAGTTTTAAATTCCTCAGTTTTCCTTATTATGACCAGATATTCTCATAGTTTCTGTGATAATTTTTTTCTGATAATTTTGTTTGGTTCTAGCGAGGTAACATCTACAAATGGAATGGCAAGCCAAACTTTGGTAGCTCAACCAGGTGGCACAAATTGGAGAATTTTCAGCTCGAACTTCCTCGGGATACTCTGATTGAGGTGGAAATAGTGCAAGAGCTTCGTGGAGAAGTAAGTACTGACAAAAAAAATTTCAGGAAAAATGTTCACATCGAGAAGGTTGTTTTTGTTATTCTTATCTTTATTTTTGGGTTAATAAAGAGCAATATTATGTCCTAAACTAATAAATAGATCCTTTCCCTTCCCCCCCACCCTCTTGAAAGGGACTTAAATTTAACTGTTCTGTTGTGAAATGAAGTCTACTTTTCAGCTAATGTCACACAACACTTTGCTCCTGAGAAGTGTTGCATGACAAGGTAGGTGATTAGCTATTGTGTGGAAAGGTACATTTTAACAGGGGTGTTTGATTACAGAGAATTCAGGTGTGGGTGCTTTTATCTCCTGTTATAAGGGCAAAGGACAGAGAAGATCTGCAGCAGTTCATATTGTGGATGCTGTCATTCTTGGAGGTAAAGATGTGAGGAGTAAACACTATCACGAGAGGTACAGTGTGAATTCTGATGCTTAAGAAAAAATGAATTTTGATTAAACTTTGCCTTTTGTTTTTTCTGATTTCTTTGTGAGGGAGAATTTGGGCAAGCATGTGCGTTACTTGCATTACACAAGGTTCTTTTTTTAAAGGTTTGTTGGGTAATTAGTAATGAAGATTGGTGAGTTTGTTGATGACTTGTTGTTTGCTTTGGTTTGTAGAATGGCTATGGCGGGTTTACTTATAAAAGCTGTCACCAAACCGACATGCCCAGCAATGGTTCCTCTCAGGTAAACATTCAATTGACATATTAACAGGTAACTGAGGTCGTGAAATGATGGTTGAAGATGACACAGATATCATATTCCACTCACAAACTTCAAGACCAAAAGTCAATAAATGGTAGGTTCAAATGTTCAACAGATGAACAAAAGAACTGATCACCCCACAGATTACAAATCAACTGAACAACCAATCACTTGACCAACCAACTAAAACACAATAAATCAAGCACAGAGACAAGCGACAGCCAGTCGACCAGGCATCGACCACCAAGCTGAAAGACTGATGGCCTTACTGAACACCCAACCTACTGAAAAACAACTAACCAACCTGACAATGAATTTACTGCTAATTATAATTCAATCAAATATGAGAGTAACTGTGGACTAAAAAAGCAAGTGAAAATCTTCTTTCTTGTAGAAGTCTTGAAATGCACAGCAAAAGAAGTGGAAAAATATATTTTCTAGCTGTACAGTATGACTATCGGCATCAATGTAAAACACAAAATTATGGAGTTTACTGATCTAATTTTCAAATGTTCTTTCAGGCTCAAACAAGTTTTTCGTGTTGACAATAGTTCACTTAAAGAAATATTCTCAAAGTAAGTTTCCTCACAAATGTTAATGACCAAACTCACATGACCTTACATTTTTATAGTGCAGATAATGCAGAATGATGAAGTAGTTTTGAAATGAAGAGAAACTTCTGAAAGAGGCATTACGTACTTTTTGAAACATTTTCTACTTAGATTTACACTTATTGTAGGACGAACTTTCACTTCCCACCTCATGGTTGGCTGTTTTTGCTGTTTGGTGATGCTCTTGTACCTAGACACTAACCATGCTCACCTCTTGGACCCTTGCAATTCACTGGCTTGTGAGTTCAACTTGAGGCAATTGCATCCCTCATGTTAAGGGAAACTTGCATTCTTTCTTTTTCACTTTCAATTCAGGATTGAGATGAAAATTGTCAAAGGAATGGGCAGAGAACCAAGGGAGTGCTTTTTGCTGGAAGATGGACGACACCTTGTCCCCAAAGGAATTTTCTTTATTAAACGTATTCAAGGTAAGCAATTGTCATTCTGTTTCAATCTAATTCCATCCCAGCTACCATACAGGCCCACTTCTGTCTCAAACTATACATATGTGGCACTTCACTTCCACCTCTATACCTCAGCACTTCTGGAAAACTCCACTTCTGCCACAAGACTTTTCCTCCTCACAGAATTTCTCTAGACTATGCACAGTCCCTCCTTTTCAGAAAAATCTGTCGTGTGCCTTGCAGAACTCTGGGAGTGAGGTGCACAAAAAGTCGGTACTGAATCCCACCTCCACTATGAAACAAATGCACTATTGAATTTTTTTTTTTATCTACAGAACCTTGGACTTATGCTCACAGTCGCTCCGCTAAGCAGTTATATTTTTACAACAAAGACACTCATGAGTCCACGTATGAAATTCCCAGAGATTCGGTGGCTTCTTTCAAGTAAGTGAACCTCAGATATAAGACTGGGCTGTCTTTAGTTTGTTTAGCATAAATTGTCTGGTAAGCAGAAACACTCTTAGCTGTGTTGGTTATCTGAAAGTCTATCACTAACTGATTTTGGTTTTGCTTTGAAATTTGGTGTGATTACATAAAAGCAGATGCAACTTTTTCAACTAAAGAGATTTTAAACCTAAACCAGATGCAATACTTGGTCATACTCTTTTTCCCACTAATAGTGTAGATGACATCTGCTGACTTTGCATTTTGATTGGTTCAGTGTAGTGAGATACTCTTGTGGCTTACTCACTGCCTGCAATGCAGGGTTACATTTAAATTTGATTGAAAATAGCTGGAAATTTCTTTTTTGTTAAAAAATGCAGATCATCACTTGGCACACGGTATTACTGGCCATGGGAAGATGTGGATTTAAGTCACGATGAAGGACCAAGAATGGAAAGAAATAATCTCATTGAATTCTTCACTGCTGCACAAAATGAATTTATCCATGGTCCTCCTAGAAAATAAGATCACCAGCTGAAAAAAGGGGTGCGATGGATCTGTGTATAAGGCTGTCTTGCTGTCCTTCTTACCAAAGAAACTGCCAAGTTAACTACCTTCTAAAACTGAGACAGAAGGTGATTGACCAAAAGAACTTACTAAGGTGAAAAGACAGTACAAATTGTGGAAACCATTTGGGAAAGTGGAACCCATTTGAGTTGGCCATTCCCTGAGACTTGGAAAATCACCTGAACTATTCATTCACTTTGCCCAGACACAGTTGTTTTGAAAACCAGTGTCAGATGGAGTTTGATTTCAAACTGCACAATTGATTTGTTTTGTATGTGTCCCCTAGGTGTATTACAATGTTTGCCTCAAAAAATTTACTTGACATCACTTTCCCCAAATCCTGTTTACTACTGTATGATTTATATGGTTGCTTCAAGGTGCCTTTCTTTACACAGGTAACAAACAATTGCCATATTATAGACGTTTGCTGTTTCATACAGGGTAGTTATTTTATTCAAGTTACACTGTTGAACCTTTTTATATAGCTTTATTTATATTTGAAATTATGGTGTTTGCCCTAGTTCCTAGTGATTGTATAGGTAGAATTTATGTTTATGTTAATGCAAGCCAATCAGATTGGAGCAAAAATAAAACAAGCAATCAAATTGCATTCATCAAAATTTGTTCCTTTAACATTTGATGTACTGTTTATGTGTAGTTAAATATTTTCACTCCCATGAATGACCAGGAAAGAATTTCTCCTTACAATATTAATACAACATAGCAGACAAGTGATGAGAATAAAGAAAAAAATAAATGAGGGGATTACTAGTTGATCCAACGCATCTGCTCCTTACTGACTGGCAGACAGTAAGGAGAATTACTAATGAGATCTTGGGAGAAATAGACTTAAAATTTTGGTAACAGGTGTGACACTTGTGGTTATAAATGCAACTTTTAGGAAAAGTTTTAAACTTGTCTTATTAAAAGCACCAAATGTGTTTTTTTTCTTGCTTTTTTTATGGAATCACATGCTCTTTCTCCTCTTTCTGCAGCATGTAAATGTTTTAGACATGATTTTATTGACATGTTGTCAAGCCTACAAGCTGAGTAACTGATAACTTTCAAAAATACATATGAATTATCTGTTTATGTCTTCACACAATTATACTTTTTATGGGGCAACTAACTGCAACTTAACCCCTATACTCCCAGGAGTGACTAGAATACTCTGTTCTTACTATGTAAATACACTTTCAAGCAGAAAGGTGAAGAAAAGAAAAGGAAGTCAACAACAAGATGTTGGTTGATTTGACACTACATTCTCAAAGCTAAAAGTAAGAGAAATGTATGGCAGACAGTATAGAGAATTGACATGTAGATCATGGGTGTAAACAGGTCAAGATGGAACCTGTACAGAGAAAAGGGAATTTTAACATCGTTTCAGAGACCTGAACCAAGGTCTCCCTATTAATATGATGAAAAAAAATATATAAAATATCATGCAGGTTTTACCTAAATGAGCAGATAACAAATATACCATGTACATTGTACTCAAAACTTTTTACAGGTCTGATACAAATTCACATCTTCACTGCTTAATCAAACCTGACTCTTTTGCACTAGTAATTTAAATTTAATAAATTCCCAACCAGCTGCAATATATTCTAAAGCTCTCTTAGATTGTACTCAAAGTGCAATCACAAAACTCTACCTCTCTACCAGGCCTTACAAACCCCCTGCATCATGCTGAATAAAAATCAAAAAATTTTTTTTTAAAAATTTGATATTTTCCCCTGTCAAATTATAGTATCATGGCTCTTCTTTATACAGTAACCATTACATAGCCTTCGTTTGACAAGTCATCTTTGACAAACTTTCTCAACAATGTGAAAAGAAATAAACAACATTCTTTATACAGTAACAATCACATAACCTCCCTGTGATAAGTCATCTATACCAATTATTTAAACAACGTGGTAAGAATTGCACAACATTTGAGGGAGGCATCATACTTCAACATGCATCTTTGTTTTGATATAATATTACATAAACTCACATAAATGCCCTTTCAAATTATGAAATTGAAGTAAATCTCTGGTTAAAATAAGCTCAAATCTCTTTGTTGTATGACTATTCCAATACACTGTATTTTGCATAAAGGCAATTTTAGAAACTGCTCAACTTATTTCTTAGCTATAATGTAACGCATTTGGAAAAGGCCCTAACATATATATACTGGGCTTTGCAGTGAGGGAACATACTCCAATGACTTCTCTCCTTGCCAAAAATTTTAACACTTAACAACTTTACATGTACATTAAACCTTTTGACCCCTAAGAGTAACCAGCATCTAATTTCTCCTTACAGTATCACCCCTAAATCACACATAAAGGTCATGAAAATAGAGGAAATCATCACAAACTAAAGAAGCTCTTGATTGTTAAACAAATTCTCCTTGTCAGCATCATAGGAAATATATAGAGAACAGTATGGAGAATGTGCATACTCATGTTAGGGTGTAAAGGATTAACTTAACAACTGATCTGTTCTTTCATTTCCAATTTGTGGTTTGCTTCTTTCACTCAACTTCCTTAGTGCATTCAGAATGTTCACTGCTTCTAACAAGATCTCTTTGCAGGACATTTTCCAACTGATCAAAACTGTGACTTCTTGTAGTTTTCAAATTCTCTGTTCCACTTGTTCAGTATTTTCAAGAAGTTTTGTTTGTCCATCAAGTTCATCATTTTTCTTTTGTTCACTTGGCTCATCATCCTGTTGCTTGCCTGGCCCTGTTTCTTTTGAGATCTCTGTAGCATTTTCCAAATGTTGACTTTTCTCATGCTGTTCAGAATTTTGGATTTGTTTTCTGCGATCAGCCTCTTCCTGAGGATTGTTTTCTCCACACTGTTTATCAACGTTCATTCCATCATGATCATCAGACCGAGTGTTTTCCAACTGCACAGTTTGTTCACCAAGTTCTGACTGAATAGATTTGTCTGTCAACCTTTCACAACTTTCATTGTCTTTCTCCTCACTTCCTTTCAGCTGATGTCCTTTAATTTTTTGGATACAATTGTCCAGATTCTTATTTTTATCTGCGTGCATTCGGATGTGCTTCTTAAGCGTATGCTGGTGACGATAGTTCTTCTTGCACACCCAGCATGTGTATGGTCTCTCTCCAGTATGAATTCGAATGTGTTGGATCACATTTTTTCTCATTGAAAAGCTTTTCTCACACTGAGGACATTTGTAAGGTTTTTCTCCTGTGTGCATCCTGTAGTGAGCCCTGAGCCGTTTCTTGCATCCAAATGCTTTCTCACATCGATCACATGGAAATGGTTTTTCACCAGTATGAGTTCGTTCATGGATTTTTAGATCAGAGTTCTGTATAAAACTCCATCCACAAACTTGGCATTTGAAGGGTTTTATCTCTGAATGGGAGTTTTGATGTCTTTTCAAGCTTGACAACCTGGAGAACACTTTATCACACTGGTCACATTTGAAAGGCTTTTCATTCTTGTGAGTTCTAATGTGACGACTGAGACTTGACGGTCCTGACAGACATTTATTGCACTGTGGACATTTAAATTTACCACTGTTAATTAATGTTTCATCAGGGAGTTCCTCACTTGTTCCTGCTGAAATTGTCACAACATCTTCATTGTTTATGCTTTCCTCTCTACCATTAGCCTCAACTACATCTCCTTCAGGCGCTGGCAAAGTGCTCAGTACAGGTTCAGGACATGCAGTTGAGTGTATTTGGCCATCGTCACCACTACTTTCATGTACTCCACTGTTTGCAAGTGTTAGTAACAACAAATGGTCACCACTCAAGGTCTCAACGACAAATTCCTGAATCTTCTGGGAGGAACAATCCTCTTCATTTCTGGAAGAAAAATATAAGATCAAAACTTTGACATAAGTCTCTCACACAATTGGTTATTGGCAGCCCTTTGAACAAAAGAGGACAGCATACAATGTATTTAGTGTCTCTCTGTCCTACTCTTTAGCCCTTCTTGTTACCTTGAAAACAATAGCAACACTAATGCAGTGATGATATCTCATCATTCTTCTCATTATCATTATCATAAATACCACTATCATGTTGAGTGATATTAATACAATTATTTTCATCAAATACCTGTCTGGGGCCTCGGAGCTCTGTTCCACCAAATTGTTGTCATTCTGTGTATCCTGTATGGCACTGGATCCTTCACTCTTCCCATTTTCACTACAATCACCAAAAAAACAAACTAAATAATCAACCAAAAACACTTCACTTGAACTGTGCTTTACATGAATAATGTGTAAAAGGAAATATCCAGCACCATTGTAAACCCTAAATTATTGTTACACTAGCTACTCCTAAAAATATTATGGAGAAATTTAGTGTTGCAAATGAATCCATAACATTATGCAGTTACCTGTTTTCATGAGATACACTGTCAGACTTTTTACCAGTCTTCTTCCTGTTTGAAAATTTTGAAAAATTACATCTCTTTAATATAACTGTAAATGTCTCTGCAACCTGTATTCATTAACTTTAATTTTTCGGTGCCTTTTCAATTTCACAAAATCTCTGGGAATAAGATCTATCAATATAAAGTAAGAGATATGGTAAGTTTTTTTTTTCTTTGTCCTACGCTCATGACAAGACAAAGAACATCTTTCTCTATTTCTTCACTGAGCTCAAAACTTACCATCTCTGTTAATCTATTTACAAACATGATACTATGGACATTGCTAATCCTAGCAGTATGCAGGATGTGTGTCATGTCTTCCAAATAGGCCTTGCTCACCACAGAGTCTTGTTGGCTCAGTGTTGGAGCATTAGATTGCAGAATCTGAAGGTCTGAGGTTTGATTTCTCATGGGGACTCAGAATTTTTTTCTTTGTCCTATGCTCACGACAAGACAAAAAACATCTTTCTCCAAGATCTATTACTTGTAAATTATTACTATAGAAGACATATTATAGCAGAAACAAAATGGATTACTTCAATCTTTCAATATCACAGCTCTGCTTGCTATAGGAGGCCACCTTAAAAAACTTCATCATTTCCTTGCTACAAGTAAATTCTACAAATCTCTCAATTCTTCCATCAAGCCTCTGTTTGTTACACTTGTACAGTACAAAACAAATAAGCAAAATTTGGTTCTCTATTAAGATACAGTAAGTTCCATTTTTGAGCCTCTAATTGCCTTTCTTGTCATCTGTCTGTAACACGTTTGCATATAGTAAGATGTCAAATGTATATCACTTCAAGCGCTCAAACCTGAAAGTTTTTTAGATTCTACACTTGGCCAACAAAAAATTTAGGGGTGGCCTGAAATAAAATCTTAGCCACTCATGGCCTTCATTGGCCACTGAAAATACAGTGACCGGAAGTTTTTTTCCTAAAAGCCATAACAACCAGAATGGTTGCAGCTTGAAATGCTGACTAGGAGTTTAAGGGTAAACTTCAAACTTTATTATTCTTTCCCATACCTGATTCCTCTAGGGTTCTTCTGCCCAGACTTGGTTCCTTTTCTCTTTCTAGGCCATGCAGCAGCAGTCTGTTCATCTCCCTCTTTATCACTAAACCAAAAATGAGAACACTTGATGTTAATCATTACATATCATGTATATCAGTATATCTGATGTAATCAAATTCAGGTCTTTGTCCAAATTTAAATATATTTATGTTAGGTTTAGTCTTATATTTCAATGAGTTTACACAAAGGTTGGAGACTGACAGCAGTGATCTCATGTTAAACAAATGCATTCCCTGAGTGTCTCTTTGCAACCTAAGGATGTATACTTGTACATGTATCTGCTGTAGCTTATCCTGTTTTCTGTAACATGAAGAGGGCAGGAGTATATTTAAACCATGCTAGTTCATAGCAGTTGACTCCTCAGCATCTTTTCATGTTTCTCTTTATAATTAAGTGATACCAATTTATACTCCTGGATGAAAAGAGGCACTCTGAGAGTGAATTATCTTCCTAAGAACACAACAAAAAGACCTAGGCAATGCTTGAACCTGGAACTCTCAGTCTAGAGTCCAGCACATTGCACACCAGGTCAACCCAACTCCCACCCCATTCCCTAACTTTACCATGAACACAAAATTTCAAGTGAATGCAACAACTGGCGATTGCAACAGACAAGTTTGCCTGTTGTTGATAGCCAAGTAGGTTACATTGTAGCCTATTCTTTAAAACAATAAACTGCCAAGAATAGCAAAACAAAAGGACTACCTCATATATACTAATGAGGCCAACATCTCAAGGTTGTGCATGCACATGCAATTTTTTGACAGGCAAGTTTTTTTATTTGCAATTGCATGCAATTTTTGGCATGTTTAAGTCACATTTTTCTACTAACATATGTGCAAGCTGTGCTGTAAATGTAAGTTGACACTAAGACAAAATAATTTTGAAGATGTTAAGAAAGGGGTAATGGTCATTCCTTCATGAAAATCACTTGTTATAAGCTATGAATGCACTATAGTATTCAAGTTAACCAATCAGATCCCGGAACTTCTTACAGTGTGCAAAGTACATCAGGTTTGAATAATTTGTTAACCTGAAAGCTCAGCTGATTGAAGTGCAATAGCAAAACTTGACAAAGCATGAATTCATTACCTTGATTTTGTAAAATTTGGTCTTGTTGTGTGAAGGTGCAAATGCTTTTTAAGTGTGTGTTGGTGACGAAAATTTTTCTTGCACACTTCACAAGTGTATGGTCTCTCTCCAGTATGAATTCGAATATGTTGGATCACATTTTTCCTCATTGAAAAACTCTTCTCACACTGAGGACATTTGTAAGGTTTTTCTCCTGTGTGCATCCTGTAGTGAGCCCTGAGCCGTTTCTTGCATCCAAATGCTTTCTCACATCGATCACAAGGAAATGGTTTTTCACCTGTGTGAGTTCTTTCATGGATTTTTAGATCAGAGTTCTGTATAAAACTCCATCCACAAACTTGACACTTGAAAGGTTTCTCTGCAGTGTGGGAATTTTTATGTCTCTTCAAGCTCGACAACCTGGAGAACACTTTCTCACACTCATCACATTTAAATGGCTTTATGTTGCTGTGGGTTTTAATGTGTCGGCTTAGACTAGAAGCTCCTGAGAATTTCTTGTCACACTGTGCACATTTAAACTCCTTGTCAACCACAATGTTAACTTCACATGAGTTATTTCCTTCAGCAGTTTCTGCCAATGAGGTACTATCATCTGAAACAAATATTCCAGCCTCTTTAGCTATCATCACAGTTTCTACTTCAATAGAAGTGGAAACATTTTCAGATTCATTGCAACTCTTGTCAATATCACTCTCAGGATTGGATGATAATATTAGGAGTTCCAGATGTTCTGCATTAACTGTGTCCATGGGTGTCATTTGAAACTTCTGTAAATCAACAAGCACTCCATTCCTAATAGACAAAAAAGTTTCATAGGTTGACGTTTCTCGGAAAAATATAACTGAACATGAAGTCAAAACCTTTGACTTATCTAAATTATTTACTGTAAAATAATTCCTCTAACCCTTACACATCATTTTTTAACAGGAGTGAGATTCTTTTAAGAACATGAATACATTAACTACAGTATAAAACATTTCTTTCTTTTTCTGCAATTTGTCACCAAATGAGTGAAAAAATACTTGCTGGGTTGTAATTATTATTTTTTTTCACTTTATAGCAAAATAACGACGTGTGTTTACCAATCACAGGAGTTCATTTTCCTCTGTGGATACCCTAGTGTGTAAATTTTATTATTGTGTATCATTGTTATTGTGCTTTAACGCTAAAATAAAGGCAGTAACAACTGTAGGAAGACTTAAACTACATTCACGAGAACAAAACTTCAGTCCTTGGTAAAACACTCTTCTATGACTAAATTGTTTTGAAAACCTAGGCCAAGACTTCAGCTGACAGTTAAAAAAATCGATGGATGTTTTCATATAGTTAACACTGCAAAACTTTGTATATTCCCGTTTGTTGTCTTCCTTCCCTGAAGCAGAAACACTCTTAAACTGAACTAAAAGTTGACGTTTAGAGACGAAAGATAGCTTAGCTAACATAATGTAATTTAATCTCGTGATCTCAGTGAGAGATGACAACATGACCGATTTTAGTCTTGTTGATAGGATAAAGAGATTCTGTAGAGTGCAATAAACAATAAGAAATTGTTCATTGAGTGCAATGGAACAAAACTTACCCACTTTGAGGTAAACCGCCCAGCCCGCTCGCCGCCATTTTCCCTTTCACACAATTCCTATCCCAGAATTCCTTCTAGTGTAGTTCAGCGCACGCTCGCGCGTTCTACGCACTCCGCAAGGAATTTTGCCTACCAAGGTCGTCCCCGTTCGAAGAAAATTCGTAGATCGCAAGTAGTGATCGATCATGGATCTAAAGCAGGTGTACTTTTGGCTTTGTGTTTTCTTGGTTAAAATTGTAGCTGATTTTTACGGCAGCGGGGGGCTGGGGAGAGAAAGAGAAAGAAGCAACGGTTATAATGAAGGAGACGGGAGGGGATTAGTTCTCGCTTTGCTCGTCCCCTCCCCCCACCTTCCACTCAAACTCTAAGTCAGATAGGAACGAGCGCCTGTTTTGCAAGCTATCATGGATCCTTTGAAATTAACTGACTTCGATACAGTAAAACATTACATAGAGGAATACGGTTCAGTTGAAAATTTAATCATCCAAGCCAAGAGTGGCAATACCTCTGCCCAAGCTGATCTTGGTTTTGCCTATGTTGAAGGTATAGGAGATTTTGTTGAGAAGGACTCTGAGAAAGCCTTAGGATGGCTCAATGCTGCTGTGGAAAATGGCCATCTTTCACCATCTGTCTGTGGAAAACTTGGCGAGTTACTTGATCTGAAAGGTACACCTCAGCATCAGCGTAAAGCGTACGAGATGTATCACCGAGCAGCAGAAATGGGTTGCACAAAATCGCAGCTCAGCTTAGCGGAAATGTATCGATGTGGAGTTGAAGGAGTGGTGAACAAAGACCTTAACGAAGCATTCGAATGGTACCAAACAGCAGCTGGTGAAAGAGCATCAGTAAGACATCTTAATCTTGGAACAGTCAGGAAAATAAAGGACGCTCTCTTTGGAACAAGAACGGAGGCTCTGAGACTTTTGTACAAGTATTATCGTGAAGGTGATTGCCCAGAAGGACGACCACAACCAACGAAAGCTGTTTACTACCTAACCAAAGCAGCTGAACAAGGCGATAAAGATGCTCAGTTTGAACTGGGAAGGATTTGTATGGATGGAAGTTGCGAACAAATAAAGGATCTGAGGAAGGCAAAGCGTTGGTTGGAAAAAGCTTCAGCCAATGGTGATGTCAAGGCAAGTCAGGTGAGTAACCAGCACTGTACTAGAATTTTTGATGGTGGAACACAGACTGCTTCTTAGAGTGTGTTCCTCTCTTGATGTGAAGCCTGAGGTTTGGGTGAAAAAAGACTGGGACAAGACTTGGACGAGACGGGATGTGTGGTCTTGTCCCAGTCTCATCTGGACCATATCACAATAATGTTGTCCCGTATTTTCCCACACTCCCACATGTCCAGAGGATGGAAAAGGATGAAAAACAGGATTCTTAAAGGCTGTTTAACCCTCTAACTCCCAAGATCTGATTGTTAATTCTCCCCTCTAGCTGCTACACATTTTCTTGTAATTTAGTTCTAAGAATTTTGGTTTTGATCAGGATAACACCCTCTACTTGGTAAGTTGTAGTATTCTTATCACCCGTTTGCTGAATAATGTCAGGATATGAGGAGAAGTTTGATGTTAATCACTTCTAGGAGTTAAAGGGTTAATGATGCACATCAACATCAATTCATTTTGAGAATATAAAAGAGAGGGTGTGGACTGATTATAGCTCATCATTACAGAGTTTAAAAATGCAAAATACTCAGCCAATTGTTAGTAGAAATGTTTTAAGCGAGGAAACACAATCAAACTCCTCCCAAGTGTCTTTCTATGGCCATGTCGCAGTTCCCTACTTTGTGCTTTTATGGTTGCTTCCCAGTCATTGCAGTTTGCAGCTTGAGTTGCTTTGAAGATTACGGCATGCCTTACCTCTTTCACTCTCATTATCTTATTTATTGAATTGCTAATTCTCCCTTTGGTTTGTCAGGCAATTATAATAATGCTTAGTGGTTAGGAGAATTAAGCATTGGATTGACTAACTATCCTCTAACTGTTATTTTTCTTTATTCTCATCACTTGTCTGCTTGATATTGTATTGATATTGTAAGGAGAAATTCTGTCTTGGTCACTCAAAGGAGGGTTAAGCTGGAGCTAATGTTTTTTGTTTTCCTTTGGTTTGTTGGTTTATGGTTTATCCTAGTAATCTTTTCTTAGCAATTATCTGATCACCTTAAGTTGTAAATTTTTTTGAAATGGACTATTGCGGTGGTAAATTCCACAGTTCATTGTGGGAGAAAGTTTGCTTTCAACATGTTCAACAACCTTAATTTATTAATTCGTTCTTTTATTTGTTCAATTTATTTAATTTTTATCACATACCTCTGTAAGTTTATTCAACATGCTTTCAAAAGACATGATGGGCCATTTATAAGAAAAAACTCCTGAAAACAGAGGAAAAGAACCTACAAACTCAGAAAAAATTTACTAGGAATAATTCTATCAGAATACCAGAGTTTACAGGTATTTACCAGAATAAGAAACAACTATCATAAAGATAAAAAAAACATTGTGGAAACACTAAAAATGACTATGAGCACACAGAATCAAGCCTGTATTAAGCAGTCACCTGCAGGGAAAGGTGAGGTGACTGCTTAATACAGTTTCACAGAATACAGGTACCAGTACCAGTATTTTAAAAAAAATGCAAAAATGCCATTTAATGCCATAATTGACAACTTCGCTTATAGAGTTAACCCTTTAACTCCTAGATAAAATTTGTAATTCTCCTTACTGTCAACCATACAATTCTTATAATGTTAGTTCAGATAATTTAGTATTGGATCAACTAATTATCCCCAAATTGATATTTTTCTTTATTCTCATCACTTATCTGGTTGATATTACATTGATATTGTAAGGAGAAATTCTGTCTTGGTCACTCATGGGAATTAAAGGGTTAACTGCTTAATAGACATGAAAATTGCTTTAAGGGGAAAGAATTTAAGAGACTTTGGTAATTGACTGCTCAATTCAGGGTGAATGCTAATACAGGGCCACTTAATACAAGTTTGCCTGTATGAACTTGCTAATGTTACAGATTCTAATCACCCTCTCCATAAGTAATTATGTCCACATACAATTAGTAAACATGAAAAAATACAAGTAATGGGGGCAAACATTCTAATTTGCAACTTCTATTTATTAATATTTTCAGCTTCTTCAGCAGTGTAACCTTAGTGAAGACACACAGCACAGTGCTTCAGAAATCAGTGAAGATGCTATGACTCAATCATTTAGTATCATGAGAGAGAAATTGAGGCAGAGTGTTGATAGAAATGGGCACCCTTTAGCAATTTCACAACCATTTGCATTTTCAGAAGAACTGCTTCAACAGTTTAATTGGTCACCAACAGCAAAAATTTACCTTCAAGCTTACAAACTGGTGGAAGGAGGCCTTGAAACTCTTAACACCAGTAAATTCACCAATGGAAGGGGAATTACGCTCATTGCTCATGGATACTTGACAGAGAATTCTATTCTACAAGCATTCCCTCAGATAAAGTCTTTGTCACACAAGATTCTTCATGTTTGCAATGAAAATTTGCACGAAAATCCTTGTTTTTTCGAGGGGCTTTTACTTGCATACATACTATGCGAGAAAGGCACCATAAAGGGTGTATTTACACTAAAGAATTTAATTAATTTTATCCAAGAGACAGAACCTAACAGCCCTCCCAGTAAAAATCCATTTCAATTTGATAAGAACTACAGCAGCTGGCTTCATGTTTTGTATTATCACTTGGCAGCCTTTTACACCATTTCAGATGACTTTGAACAAGCAGCTGAGGCATTTGAGAACTCCCTTAGATACTGCCCATCATACTATGATGCCAAGAGGGGACTAGGACATTCCTTGATGAATTTGTATACAATTAAAGAAGTGTCTAAATCAAAATATTCCTGCCAAGAAGTTTCATCAACAACTACTCAAAACAAACATGATGAAGAAATTTCAAAGTATGCATCATGGAGTGCTGAGAATTTAAGAGACACTGCTGTGACAATGTTGAAGGAGTTTCTAAAAGAGGCACCAACTTGCTTTAAATTTTACCCAAATGCTTGTTATTATCTTGCAAAACTTGCTGTGAACACAGAAGAGTTTGTAAAGTATTATGAACTTGGGCAAGAGGCAGAGGAGAAGAGACTTCCCTTTTTTGATCCTGTCAATCTTCCATTGAAAGATTTGTTGACACCACGCTACCAGCTATTTACTAATGTTAAAAAACCTGTCCAATGTGGAAACAAGAATTGCTCCAAAAAAGTTGAGGAGAGTGCACTGAAATCCTGTAGCAGATGCAGAAATCAAAAATATTGCAGCAAGTGAGTGAATGTGTTTGAAATTATCAGTTTTTCTATACTTCATAAACAAGAATTGCTGTTTGAATAATAATAAAAAGGCCTTGTTGTCTTTCAGATTAATAATGGTTAGGGAGAAACATAAAAAATTATTTTTCAGGCCAAGTTAATTACAAAGTTTGTGCAACCTCAAGTCTTGAAGTTCCCTTAATAGTAATAACAATATAATAGCTTTTAAAATTTAAAAGGGATTTTTGGGAACATTGAGTTCTGTGTAATGAAAATTTTGTGTTGGAACAAGTTCAATCCTGTAACATGATTGGCTTAAAAAGGTCTTTTCATTTTTCTAGAGAGTGTCAAACAGCAGACTGGAAAAATCACAAAGCTACTTGCACTGCTCCCAAAGCATCCATGGCCAAGAATGGATGAATATAAGATTTGGTATGGTAAATAACTAAATAAGCGAAGACAACTGCCAAGAGATCAATGAGTTGCCTTCCTCTACCAGAAGCAAGAAAAGACTATCAATTTACTGCATAACCAAAAAGTAACAACGATTTTTGTTTCATCAAGCTTAGAAGTTTTCTCTAGGTTTTATTTGACATGGTTTTGGGGGTGGGGGAACTTGAAGCTTGCGTAGATGTGCCACAAGTAAAATCAGATTTTTAATCTTTTTAACCCTTTAATTCCCATGAGTGACCAAGACAGAATTTCTCCTTAGTAATTCGATAAAATATCTTGCAGGCAAGTGATGGGAAGAAAGAAAAATATCAATCATGAGATTATAACATGATCCGCTACTAAATTTTCCAAACTAACTTAAGGAGAATCATTTGGCAAACAGTAAGGAGATTTACTAATCAGATCTCGGGAGTTGAAGGGTTAAGACAAAGGCATGTCAGAGGAAAAGGTACGTGTCTGGTGAAATGTTGATCTGCTGATGCAAATGCATATTTTTTCATCTACACGAAAGGTTTACATAAAGTTATGTAACAAGATGTTTGACAAGAGTTTGAGTAAAAGCAGCAAAAATTGCTTCATCATTGTATATTTTGACTCCTCAACCGTGATCTACATATTCCAACAAATAAATTCATGAAATAAAATTTAAGTGGTACAGTAGAGCGTTAATATACAATTGTTAAATTTGTAGTTACTGGTAGCTAAATTGACACCTCTAAGGAAATACGCACTATTTTGTTCCTAATGAAACAATAGCAAAGAACTTCACTCAAAAATTTATCATTTCTAGTCAAGATGGCCATCTTAAAGTAATGGAACAACTGACTGACTGCATGCTGGCCGCGTTTAGTGTCACAGCTAAGTAAAGATTATATAGTGATGCTTCTTAAGTAAATTTTGATAGTCATTGGCATCCCTATATGACAGCATCAGAGTGTTGACATTGGTGTTAAAGATAACACAAGTTCAGTTTCCAGGTTTGCTGGTTTTCCCTACATTTCTAATAGTTAGTTGGTCTAAGAAATCTGACAAGGTTATTTCTTGACCATCAATGCACCCTAGTATTAGTTCTATGCAGAAACGGAGGCACGTTTTTGCTTTCACTAAACTATTTACAAGGTTATTATTTCCTGTTACCTAGAAATGTTCTGCTGCAAGATTGAAGCCTCCTTACATACTAGGCCTGTTCTACTAATTTGGTTGGTTGATAAATTATTGCGGCAGAGTCTACCCACCAAACACTCAAGAATGAAAAAATCCCATGCACTTAGGACGTTAAAGTACCCACTGTCTATCTTTTCTTCAGTAGGTTATCAGGGTTGCTTGGCATCCTTATCCAATGAAAATCAATGTTCCAATAACTGAGTCCAAAAAATTGATTAGAAAACTTGCAGTGGAAGAGGTAAGGATGACTTGGTGAGACAAACGTGGTAATGGCACAAAACGCCTTAGAATTAAATCATTTTCTTTGGCGTAATCATCCCAACTTCTATTTACTGGGTTTTTGCACTAAACGTCACCTTCTGAAGTCCTCACCACTTCTGATAAGGGGCTAACTGATTGAGGAAAACTGTGAGTCTATCTCCTTCATCCGCAAACATGGCCCAAAAGAAGACCTTTTTACTTGTAAATTTGTGCAGGCTTCCAAGAACTCCACATTCCATAATGATATTGAAGATTTCAGGACTTACAATGTTGCCATCTATTGTAAGGCTCTGGTCATAAACAGTCAACAACTGCAATGGGTGGCTGTTAAGATCTTTAGTTTGAATCTTGACGATAAACTTATCACGACTTTCACGATTTGGCTTAGGGCCCTCTCCAATACCTATCAAGTGACTGCCAAATACTCGCTCCTGAGCCCCCTCTGACACGACCCGGAAGGGAATGATCTTGATTGTTAAAGAATAGCGGCTCCTAAGGGCAAAACATAATGCCTTGTGTTTGGGTCTGTGTTTGCGCTGGCATTCCTCACTACAATAAAGTGCAATTTGACAACTGGGGCACTTTGTCAAGTGACATGCTTTATCTTCTGAACGACGACAAAATGTGCAGCCACTCTGAAATCGTTGAATGACTTCTCTAGGGTGGTGTTTGCCTTCCTCATTGTTATCTCTGATGTTTCCAATGAGAATTGGAGGATTTGAATGAAACTCCTTCTCTCCGCAAGGGATGCCTAAACATTTAGCGACCATAGGGTTGTTCTGCCACAATTTTCTATAGGTTCCACGTTCCAGCGATTCCACGTTGTCTTGATATTCCAGCCAAGGGCCACAATGGTCTCGAACAGTGTTTGATTCAATTACTACTCGTGCTGAATAATTGATTCCCATGAAAATCCCCCCGCATTTGTTAGCTGTAATGAAATTTTCCAGAATGTGTCCGGAAGTTCGTGATTTTACAAGAATGGCCCAGAATCCATTTTCAAAAATCTTGTTGTTTCGGATTAAAATTTCAGAATTGTCATCCAAAGAAATACCGAAGGGTCCGTTGTGATGTATATCATTCCCTTGTAAGACTACCTTGTCTTTATTGCCCATGGCGAGAATGCCCTCCCTTGTGTTCTCAAAGATCTTATTATCATCTATGGAACAGTCTCCTGCATTTGGTCCAATCAACATGCCATGAAAGCCATTACCATATATCCTGTTTTCAGACGCAGAAATTCTTCCACCTTCTCTTGCCTCTAAGCCGCTTTGATGGTTTTTGTAGACTTCACATCGTCTAATGCGCAGCTGTGAACCTGAATCTTCAACGAGAATCCCTCCACCTCCGCAGTCGCGAATAATGCAATTTTCAATCAGTGCAACACTACTCTCGATAATCTGGATTCCAGCCATGCCTGGAAAGCCAGAGACGAATTTGCTTCCATATTTGTAAGTCCGATCACAAGTGTCCCTTCCTCTTGATCTTGCTATGCATCCTGGACCTCCGTTACATTCTGGGAAGTCTTCACAACTTGCTTGCCCTCCAGATACCTTGCAGCGATTAACGTGGATCGCTCCTTCTGTACCCCTGCAGAGAAATGCACTGTTCCCTTTCGGAAAAAAAATATTCTCAAAGTAACACCTTGAGAATACTTCGCATCTGCTTGTGCAAATCAACGAAGTGAATATGGTTCCAAGGCCTACTATCTGCACATCACAAGTGACGACAAAGCAAGGTAGATGATACTTTCCTTCCTTCAATAAGAAGGTCTCATTTTTCTCTGCAGTGGCTAAAGCAAACGCCAATTGCGTTGCATTGGTTATCTCTCTTGCTCGTGCGTCTTCAAAGTCTGGAAAAATTTTACAAAAACGTTTGTCATGGCGAAGACTTGGATCAAAGTGAAGAGCCATTGATAAAGCGGCCCGCTCTTGCCCTTTTAATTCATTCTGTCCATTTACTACTAGTTCTCGCAGAGCCCAAGCTCTTCTTTGCAATGCTTTGCAGTAATAAGGATCTAAAGAGAGGCACTTGTTACAATCCCCCAGTGCATTCCTTGGCTGTCCAAGTTTCAAATGGCACAGTGCTCGGTTACAGAACAGTCGACAGTCAGTGGGATGCAAAGTAATCGCTCTAGTATACAAATCCAAAGCTTCTTTGAACATTTTCCCTTTTACAGCAATGTTTCCTTCTTCTCTAAGTTGGTTGGCTTGCTCCTCCATTTCTTTTTGAGAAGATTCTTTTTCCGCAACGGCTTCCCCCTCAGGAAGAGATTTACTCATACAACAGGAAATTACTTTGTGGTCTCTTTGCTTTAGGGGTACATCGATGAAGTAATTTGGTAAATTGCAATCATCATCAGGGATTGATTTCTCAAGGTGTACTAGCAACTCAAGTTTAATTTCTTGCAATTCCTGAGCTTTGATGTTTTCGTGAGAAACGCTAAAAAATATCCCTGCTTCATTAATAATTCGGACAGTTTCTTCAGTGCATAGCAAAGTGCTTCGCACGCGTTCGGCTTCATTTTCATGTTTCTTGGAGTAGCTGCGCAATTGCTTCTGTAGATAGGTGGCATGCGATGCCAGCCTACCCCAAAGATGTAACGAAGGAGGATTGTCCACACTGAAAACAGCATCCATAGAGAAACTTTCGCAAACCTCAACTGGTGAGCGTGTGTCCACAAGTGCATGGTGAAGGGCATGTACTGCACAAGAAAGGACGCGCAACTCAGCTTTGTCTTTCTCAATTTCACTTCGGATAACCTCTTGCACTAGACGATGTACGCTGAAAGACTTTGTCCCATACCTTTGAAAAAGAGAAAACCTGGTGAGAAGCGCCACAATATATCCTGAGTCCCACGCATCGCCTGCTGCTTCGGCATTTTCCACTTTATTAAGCTCTTCATTTATCACTTCAAAAGGGATGTCGTCGGGACCTAAGTAAGCAGACATACGCATCACAAGAGAAGGGATTTCTCCTAGGTCCTCCTCCACTGAGATGCGTCGAATGTATTCAAAATTCAACAACCAGGTTGTCTTTACAGCCAATCGCTCTCTGGAAGTATCTTGCACCAGATGACGAGCTTTCTTCTTGTCCAGGAGGTGCAGTCTTTTTTCTTTATATTTTTTGAGATACTCTTTAACAGTCGAGTGGGGGACACATCTAATATAGGCTGCAGCTTGATCAAGAGCCAGTGGTAGTCCGCCAAGTTCTCGGACCAGCTCACGAAAATCGCTATCTTCTCCGGTTATTTCACTTCGCATTCGTAAAAACTGTACTCCTTCTTCCTCTTTCAAGCACTTCAACTCAATACAATAGCTGTTTGTGATTCCAGTCTCTTCTCCGATTTCCTTTGCTTCTCTTCTTGTGGTTATGATGATATGACCACGGGCGGCTTGTTTCCAATGACCAGTCAGCAGTTTTCGCATATCCATGGACATTTCTAACTCATCCAAATTGTCAACCACCAAACACCACAGCTGTTCGCGCTTTCTCAACCAGTCCAAGGTTCTTGATAGCGAACTGGAAAAGTTTTTGTCATCAAAAGTACCAACTTGACGTGCCATCTCGCTAACGGACAATTGAAAAAGGTCGCTGGTTTCGCCTGAAATCCAAAAAATACCACCGGGATATTCCTCCTTGTCTTTCTGTCGCCAGAGAAACTCGACAGCAAGAGATGTTTTTCCAACCCCCCCAAGACCGCAAATTACTGATTCAGAACAACCACTCTCAGCATTTTTCAATTGCTCTGCAATAGCTGCTACCTCATATTCACGACCACAAAAGCAATGATTGCGACTGGGCAGTTGGAATATTTCGGCATCAACTGTGGCTTTCAAATAACCCTCTTCTAACTTTTTAAGTCGACAATCTAAGGTCTCTACGGTTGATTCTAGCTGATTATGTTTTTCTTCTAGCTGAGAAACTTTTTGTGACTGTACCCTAAGTTTTTCTGACTGCGCCCCAGCTTCTTTCTCTACCCGTGTCTCAAGTTCAGTAATACGCTGATCAAATATACTGATTTGATCTTTGACATCTTTTAAGGCCTCGCTTATCTTGTTAGCCTCCTCAGCACTGGATGTCTTGATGGCCTCCAAGTTTTGTTCTAAGTTGGTTACCTCAAGGCTGACAAGTTTCATCAAATCCTTGTCCACTGGGCAACCCATGCACAATTTCAAACCTGTCAATAGTTAGAAGGTAAATGGCGTCAAGTTAAGGAGCTACAACCAAGGAAGAACACAGCCACACGATACAGAAAAAGGAGGCGGACTATTGTGATGTACGTCTATCAATTTTTTAACAGCTCGAGCAAGAAAAAAAAACACGGGAGCCGTTGTAACTGACCATAGACTTTGATTCTGATGATGACCTCCGCTATGGTGGTCGATACTCTGCGCGGCTTCTCCTTTGGTCAAGTCGCCTTCATTATTGGTCAGCTTGCTAAAATCCCCAGGCGACTTGCAAGCGAGTTAGCCGAAAAAGTCAGCAAGTTGATCAGTGATGTAAGCAACTTGACCAATGAAGACCGATGGCGAGTTAGGCGGTGGGTTACTTTCGGGTGTGGTGACTGGGTACCATCAGTAGTCATATTTGCATCCAAATGAAGGAGTACTGAGACAAAAGACACTGACAACGGTAATGCAAAGGGAATTATACATTAAGCTGAAACCTTCACCCACTTTGATTGATTCTTACTTATGTTGAAAAAAAAAAGGCATAGATGACGTCACCATTAACAAAATCTTACTTTTTTTAATCAAATAACACAGTTAGATTCCATAGTGCCGCGGGTTTGCACAGTAAAAGATCATAGAGACTTAAAAATGTGGTAAGAACACTAGTGATACACTCGGATGCGCCCTGGGTGTTTCTCTTTTGTTCTTACCACATTTTGTCGTCATCTGTCATCTATTACTGAACAGACCCACGGCAACGTGGAATCTATTTGGTAAATACACTTACCCTTAGTGTGCCAATCTTGAAGGTTATCCAGCACTTTGTTTTCATCGGCTGTTGGAAGCCCCAATGAACGAATCAATGTTTCCATGAGTTGGAAACAGTAGTGAAAATCCACGTCAGTCCAATGATCAAAGTTGCAATGCCCCCACTCATTTCGTACTTTTGAACGCACATCCTTAGCATTATTTTGAATGTTGGTTGGAGTTATAAACACAGATGCATTCGCCAGCATCCCTAAAACTGCTGACAGGTCACATGTGTTATCAAATCCTGCAAATGAAAAGTTACTTAGAAAAAAGGAGGAAAATTGCGCCTGTTTGTGCGCACATTCATTAATGAAATAATGCCAATAATTTTACATCAAAGGTAATATTATTCTGAGAGAATCAGATACGAATGGTGACAGTATTCTATATTTAATGATCTAAATTGTATTTCATGAAAATTTACCTTTTTAGTTATAGGCATATTTCCATTCTGTTTTATCAACTAAGGTGTATTTTTATTCTGTTTTATCAACCAAGGTGATCTGTTTTGTGTGGAGTTCAGGACTTTTTTTGCAGATAATCCAAATTTCCATTTCACTTCTTATCTTTCTTCTTTTGATTTCAATTGGATTAGAAGGTCATTACATGTGCAAATAGTTATAATAAACATACCAAGAAAATCCATTCAGCTTTCTCTGTAAGTTTTTTTATGTTTGAAACATAATCATATAATAACACAACACCTAAACCACAAATATGAACTTGGAATTTGAGATTATTTACTCACCTGTAAACTTGGCCATGTGTGGCTCAAGATAAAGTTTGGCCAGATCCTCAGCAGATGCCACTTTATAATCATATAGTTGCACTTTCCTCTTGAATCTTCCCCAGTTGTTGTTGATGCTGCCATAGTTTAAAGCAAATGAACCATCTTTCTTCATGTGAGTGGGATAAACCTGTGCATCTATTCCACTGGAACTCTTCAATGATGTGTAGTGTTTAGCAAGTTCTTTGCCCGCAAAGTCACGGAGAACTGGTAATAGAAGCCTGTTTAATGTGATTCCAATCACAACCCATCTTTTTTGTTTGTCACCCAAATCAAAGCTGCTGACTGTAAGAAATTACAAAAGAAAACAACAGTTTTTGCCACAGACTGAAATAGATCTCACTTGAAATGTAGGTTAACATTGAACTTTAAGATTTTAGGTTTACAATTTAAGCATTTGGGGAAATCTCACCATTGGTTTTGAGGAAGTTGCCAATTTCACAGACTATGAATACTCCTTTGTCTTTTTTCAAGAGAGCAAATACATACATCTATAATTCAACTTTTACTGTAATAGGGAAATGGTAAGTATTAAACATGCCTCCATATTACACCATTGAATGGGGAAAAAATCCAGAAAATGATGTTGGAAATGATGTTGGATTAATAACATTCTTGCCTAAACTTCTCCATATGTGAAGTGCAGGCTTGAATATGAGGTTAGGCATGCAGGAATTGGTCTCCTTTTCCTCTTTATTTGGCACCTGGCATCAGTTTGTTTTCTTGCTTGGGCTTATAATTACAGGGAAGTGAGAGCCATGATAGAATGCTGTTATTGCAATTTGACATCTTACTTACCAGGTCCTGAGGTGGATGAGGATGGAGATAGAACTATTGGGGGGATGGAGGGTCCTGGAGAGGAAGTAGGCATGATGGAAATTGTTGTGCTTGGGCCAGTTGCCATAGTAATCTATTAACATAAACATAAAAGTTACATCTCACATAGATATGATTTATTCATCACTGTTTAAATTCTAAATTTGTGAAAAATTGAAAAACGGAAATGACCAACCAGACCAGTCTTCAGTTGAAGGGTTACATAGAAAATATATAGACTGATCTTGCCAAAGTGACTCATATTTTCTTAAGGCACCAACAGAATTTGTGATTAACAACATAATTAAAAAGCAACTAGATCCTGAAACCGTAAATGTCCCCATATGAATTACAATTTAGACAAAAACAAACATAAAAATGCCCTATTTCAGACCACAAGCAAAAAAAGAACTCACTTTGCTTTGTGGTCTGTACTACTGTCTCAACCTTGATAAGTGCCATGTTGAAAGTTTAGTTTGGAAAGCCACAAAAATCTAGAACAAAAATTTATCTTTCAAATCTGCACCCTTTATCCCCAGGGTACCTATGAGTGCATTTCATTCAACTTATTCATTCTTGTTTTCCCATCATCATATTCTTGCAAATAGTATAGCTCCATTTTCTCCATGTAAACAAACACAACCCACAAATTTCCTCCATTTGCTCTGACAAAGGGCTAATGCTCAAGATGTCAGCTTTTAAACTTGTTACTGTGGCCAATTTATGTTATCAACTCACTTCATAATACTAAATAACCCTGTTATACTCTCCCACCGATGTAGCATCACAGTTTCTTTAAAAACTTACCCCCTTTGGATGTATTAAAAAATGGATAATGGTGCAATACCATTCAACTTAATATATTGCATCTCCTATGTGAGTGAGATTTAAACTGAATTAATTTTAATCCCAATGTATTTAACTGAGGTCTCTGGTTACCTTTCTGTCCACATGTCATTTTCAGTTGCTCCAACAACAGGGTTTATCAAATTTAATAATGTTGACTGAGTACTATGACGACCCTGTCATTACCTATGCTGTATTAAGGGTGCAACACTCAGAGCATTTACCTAACTGTATATGGTGTTTTAAACATTTACTATTTAAAATTAGCAGTTTTTTTTCCAGTTTTCTAGTTGTATACACTGATAGCTTTTTTGCATGTATTTTGCATTTTGACTTTGTCGCATACAATGATATAACCCCACAAAACTATAGCATAGTTACACTTTTAGAGAAGAAAAAATAGTCATAACCTCTAAAGAACCGAGCCCTAGAGATCGTGTTTCGGTCTGAGCACGTTTCACTAGCTATCAAGCAAGCAACAATTTTATAATCAGCATTTAGTAAGTTTCAGTTTCCCACCCACCTAGACAGTTTTGATTCTGTTTATGTCATCATAATCATTTGAAATTTATTCCTTATTAATGGGCCGTTGTTTTGGTGTATCCGTCTATAACTTTGATGTATTTGTTTAGCGTATTATGTACGTAGATATGTACATGTGATAAACCGCCTGGTTCCAAAACAAGACCCAAACAAGCCTCGGTCTATTGTGGTGTTTGAGAAATTGATCCGAAGACTTCCGGAAACTGTTGTAAGATGTTCCGAACGTAATAAGCAAGAGTAAAGAAAGACAGAGTAAGAAACAATACCAGGAGTATGACTCCAGCTTACTTTCCTTTGCCATATTTCAAAATAAGAGTAAAATAATTAAGCGAGTGTTCGAATATTCGACCATCTCGCGTTCGCCTTAAGAGAAAGTTGGCCTTGAGTCGACATGTTATGGAATATATTTCATCGCTTCGACCGATCTTCGTTTAACATTTTACATTCTACGAAATAGTATTAGACCCTTTTAAGAGCTTGACACTATCTCATCGCCTTAACATCGACAAGCGCCGTCGAATGAAATCCGCGTAGGCATAAACAACTGAATCAAGGTGGTTTTCGCGCGGAAATTAACCTTTTATTAACCCCAATTTAGTTCGTACTTTCTTCATATTTACTTACGAGCGTTCCAATGAAAATTCCTTCAGATTACATGCTATAAGGTCCTTTAAAATCCAGTGGTATCGAACAAGAAATTAACGTTCCACCCAACATTTGCGACGTAACGGCGAACGATGATTCCCTGTAAGGAATGACGTGGGGGGTATCCCCCTCCACTGTTTTTTTTTTTTGCGATTTAGAGAAAACGGAAATACAGGAACAGGACTGGAGTAGTCACAAGATTGAACAGCGGAACTGACCAATTTCCCTTGACCCTTTCGTCTCAGTGTACATTTCCGTGAAAGACTTTTCTATGCTACAGTGACATTAGTCCAGTGACAGCATGCCGAAATTTAGCAGGAGTATTGCTGACTCTTGTCTGTATGCAACACTAGTTTTGCCCAATCACATTTGATTTTTCACAAACAGCTAACAGTACCCAGCAGTGAAGGGAGAAGAATGCTCAGTACATTAACGTGTACGGATTTATGACGCCAAATCATTCGACCATGAGATCGGTCTAAAAGTCCAGGATACCAATCTAATTGTCCATTTCTTTTGTCCTTCTAGACTGATTACACTTCTTTGGAAAAAATTTCGTCGGGGGCTTGTTACGTATGCGTAAGTATGTCTATAGCAGTGACATCGTAACGTGAAAATTTCCACACAAGCTGAGTAATATCCTCCAGAGAAGACGCAGCAACGGTTTGTTGCGACTGGACAAAGGCGAAAATCCTGCCGTCTTGACCAACATTTTTAAATTTCGGGGGATGGAAATAACAAAAGAATCAACCCCAAAAACTGACAGATAATAGTTAACAGACGCCGGTCTCGTACAAACGCCGGGCGTTTATCTAAGAAAAAGGCAACATATAGCATAGTTTTTCGAATTTTCAGATTTTCAATTCATTATCATTGTAAATATCAGCAATAATTGGTGTTATTATTATCAATATTGTAACCATGATTATAATTCCTCATGAAAAACTTTTTTGTTTTCTTTCTTTTCAATCAATATTATGTTAATGGCTGACAAACGTGTTATCAACTAGCTACCATAAAATAGAAAAGTTCATCATATAGAAAGGTAGTCTTGAGAGTTCTGATCGGTTCCTACTTGGTTGGTATTTTGCCATACAGACCATTTCCACTAGAACGGTCCTAAGCCGTGTACTTTTGCTCGCAAAAAACCGGCAAATTCAAAATAAACAAGTTTGGTTCGAGTGCCATATAATAAATTTCTAACTGACCTCGCTTGCTCGATCCGTATTGAGGAATATTGGCCCTCGGTCGAGCGGAAAAACAATGGGCGCAATTTTAATTTAAAACACTACAAATACAACTGAAATATAACGTGCTTTACTCGATAAGCCTTAGAGACGCATCAACTAAAAGCTTTAAGGGTAACACCGAACACTATCAAAATAATTAAGTAATATACCGCGACGGCAAAAATTGAAAATAGCGGGTGAAAATTTGTGCCAACTGAAAAAATAGCCACAAACGTAAATATTTACTGACTGATTACTTTCGCTGCGCAACGGTAGACACCGAAAAAAAAAAACAAGAAAGATTTTATCCTGCTTGGTTAGGATTCCTCGAACTGACTCCGAGATAAATTTTCAGGCGAATAAAAGTTAACTGCAAATACAAACTGACTCTAACTAGGGCTAAGATGGATTAGGTGATTGAAGACACTTTATTCTTCGATACGACCGCTAGTTCTCGGCAGTTAACGCGGCTGAATAATAGGCTACAAAGTCAACGGATTGACATGTGCTGCTCTGTAAACTGTCACAACTGTTGCAATAGATTCCTACCAATCTTGATAAGGGGCAAGGTGGTCGAGGAAAATTGTCAGCTTTCCATCTGGCTCGGTAAACGTAGCATAGAAAAAACATGTTTTACTTGTGAATTTGATTAAAGCTCCAAGCACGCCACACTCCGTTATAACGTTGAAGATTTCTGGACTTTGAATTAAACATTCAATTGAGAGGCTTTTGTCATAGAGGACCATTGACTGCATTGGGTGGCTATTGAGATTTCCTGTTTCAATCTTAGCAATAAACACTTTGTTAGGCTCTGGTTTTGGCCCCTCTCCAAAACCTCTCAAGTTACTGCCAAATATCCGTACTGGGTTAGTGTTGGACGGCATGCGGTCAACTTCTACAGAATAACGACTTTTGAGAGCGACACATAATGTCTCGTGTTTACGTCTGTGGTTTCGTTGACACTCCTTGCTGCAGTACGATGCAATGTGACAATCCAGACACTTAAAAAAGCACTCTTCGTTATCTCTTGGGCGACGACAATACGTGCAGCCGCTGTAGAGTCGTTCAGTGACCTCTCTGGGATGGTACATGCCTTCTTCGTTGTTGAATACTCTGTTTCCGTCCAGAATAGGAGGACTTGAATAAACTTCATTCTTTTCTCCAGGCGGCACATACAAGTAGGACAACGGACTATAGGCACCAGGACCATTCACGGTAAGACTGCCTTTTATGTTCTGATACTCGAGCCAAGGGCCACTGTGGTCTCGAACAACATTTGATTGCATTTGAATTCGTCCAGAATAATTGACACCGATAAAAATACCGCCGCATTTGTTGCCAGAAATAACATTTTCTGCAATGTGTGCTGACGTGCGCGTTTTAGCAAAGATTCCCCAGAATCCATTCTCAAATATCTTATTTTTAACCACCACAAGTTGAGAATTAGAATCCACCGAAATTCCAAAGGGCCTGTTGTGGTGAATGTCATTGTTTTGTACGACGATCTTGGTCTTGTTTAGCAAGGCAAGAATTCCCTCTCTCGCATTTTCGAAAATCTTATTTCCGTCAATGTAACATTCTCCGGCCTCTGGACCAATCAAAACACCATGATAGCCACTGTCAAATATCCTGTTTTTGGAGGCAACAAGTTTGGCTCCATTCCTTACCTCTATGCCGGCCTGGTGATTTTTGTACACTTCGCATTTCCTGACAAACAATTGAGAACCTTCGCCATCTGCTAAAGCGCCTGCACCTCCACAATCATGAATAGTACAATTTTCAATCAAAGCAGTGCTTCCTTCCGAAATCTGGATTCCAGAACGGCCCAAAACTCCAGATATTGATCGTGGATCTCCAAACATTCCAGTCCGATCACAAGCTGGCCTTCCCAAAGATGCCGCTACGCAGCCCGAGCCTCCATTGCATTCTGGAAATTCCTCACAACCCGCCCATCCCGCCGAAATTTCGCAGTGATTCAGATGAACAGCTCCCCCCTCACCTAAGCAACGCAGAGCTGTGCTTCCCTTAGGAAGCACTATATTCTCAAAGTAGACCTTAGCACCTGTGACTACGCAGTGATTTCTACAAGTTACAACCGTTCTGGGCCCAAGACCCACCACCTGGCAATCAGTGCCAAAAATGAGATTAGGTACATTGTATTCCCTTTCATGTAATAACAAGGTTGAATTTTCTTGCTGCATCAAGATTACTAAATTCAAATGGGTATCACTGCTTACTTCTACAGGACGCACAAGTGAAACTTCCGGAAACATCTCACAAAAGGTTTCATCACAGCGAAGATTGGGATTAAAATGAACGGCCAATGCCAATGCTGCTTGCGCTTGCCCTTTGAGCTCATTACGTCCTTTGGTAACGAGTTCTTGGAGAGCCCAAGCTTTACGTTGCAGCGCTTTGCTGTAAAAAGGTTTTAAAGAGAGGCACTTTCCACAGTCATCTAAAGCACTGTTTGCCTGCCCGAGTTTCAAATGGCAAAGGGCCCTGTTACAAAACAGTCGATAGTCACCCGACCACAAATCAATGCCTCTGGAATAAAGACCTAAGGCTTCTTTTAACTTGCCATTTTTTACTGCAATGTTTCCTTCTTCTTTGAGTCGGTTGGCTTCCTCCGCTGAGGTCGGGAAAGGGGCTTCTTCAGCCACGACCTCGCTCTCCGCCGATTGTCTCATACAGCACGAAATCACCTTGTGGTCCTTGTCTTTCAGAGGTACATCAACAAAATACGATGGCAAATCAGCATTATTTCTAGTGGTTGACTTTTCAAGGTGCACTAGCAACTCAAGTTTCATTTCTTGCATTGCCTGAGCTTTTACTTTCTGTTGAGAAACGCTAAAAAATATTCCCGCCTCATTAAAGATACGAACGGTTTCTTCAGTGTTTAGCAAGACATTTACGCTTTCGATATCACTTTCATTTCTTTCTGCGAAGCTTCGAATATGCTCCTGTAAATAGATGGTGTGCGCAGCCAACTTGCCCCAGAGTTGTAATGATGGAGGATTCTCTATACTGAAAACAGCGCCTTCAAAGAAACTCTCGCAAACTTCTGCTGGTGAGCGTGTATCCGCTATAGCACGATAAAGGACACGCACTGCACAACAAAGGACTCGCAGCTCAGTTTTGTCTTTCTCTATCTCATTTCGGACAACTTCTTGCACCAAACGATGAACACCAAACGAATCTATCCCATACCTTTGAAAAAGGGAAAATTTTGTAAGAAGTGACGCTATCTCGGCTGCATCCCACAAATCGCTTACTGCCTCAGCATTTCCCACTTCGAAAAGCCCCTGGTTTATCAGTGCATTAGGAATGTCATCGGGACCTAAGTAGGCAGAAATTTGCATCACAAGTGTAGGGGTTTCACCGAGATCCATCTCCTCTGAAATTCGATTGATGTGATCAAAATTCAACAGCCATGTTGTGTGAACAACCAGTCGCTCAGGCGATGTATTTTCCACCAAATTACGAGCCTTCTTCTTCTTCAAGAGAACCAACTTCTGTTTCTTATACTTCTTCAGATATTCCTTAATGGGCTGTCGAAGGGAAAGGGATCGGATGTAAGCAGCAGCTTGATCAAGAGCTAAAGGTAGTCCGCCAAGCTCTCTCACTATCTCAAGGAAATCATCATCTTCTCCACCTTTTCCGCTTCGTATCCTCAAAAATTGAATTCCTTCTCCGTCTGTGAAACATTTCAACTCAATGCAAAGGCTTTCTTCGATTCCGGTTTCTTCTTCGATTTCCGTTGCTTCTCTCCTCGTGGTTATGATGATATGACCACGTGCAGCCTGTTTCCAATGACCAGTAAGCAACTTCCGCATATCCATGGACATTTCTAACTCATCCAGGTTGTCAACCACCAAACACCACAGCTGCTCGCGCTTTGTCAACCAGTCCAAGGTTCTTGACAGCGAATTAGAAAAGTCTTTGTCATCCAAAGTTCCAACTTGACGTGCCACCTCGCTGACAGACAATTGAAAAAGAATGCTGGTTTCGCCTGAAATCCAAAAAATACCACCGGGATATTCCTCCTTGTCTTTCTGTCGCCAGAGAAACTCGACAGCAAGAGATGTTTTTCCAACACCCCCGAGACCGCAAATTGCTGATTCAGAACAACCCCTCGTAGTATTTTTTAGTTGCGCTGCAATTGCTTTTAGCTCACTTTCGCGACCACAGAAGCAATGATTGCGACTGGGCAATTGCAAAATTTTCGCATGGACCACAGCGTTAAGATTACCCTCTTCTAACTTTTTCAGCCGAGAATCTAACTGAGTTTGTCCGAGCTTTAAAACCTCCACCTTTGAGTTTAGGTTACTCTCTCCGTCTTTTAAAGAGGCTACAGCTGATTCTACCTCATTTTGCCTTTCTTCTATCAGAGAAATGTTTTGTTCATTTGTATCTTGGCGTTCCTCTATTATATTTATACTGTTAGAAATATCTTCAATTGCTGTTGAGAATGCTTTGTTCTTTTCTGATTGCGCCTGGAGCTCTTCCTCCAGTCGACTTTCCATGTCGGCTATACGTTTCTCAAACTTCGCTATTTCATCTATGGCGTCTTGAAGAGCTTCTCCTATCCTCTTGGCTTCATCAGCATTGGATTTATTTATGGCCTCCAAGTTTTGTTCTAAGTTGGTTACCTCAATACTGACAAGTTTCATCAAATCCTTGTCCACTGGGCAACCCATGCACAATTGCAAACCTGCCGAAAAAACAATTTATGTGGATACAAAGTCAGCCATGATGTGAATATTTCACTTTGGGTAGCCGAGGCGCCTTAAATGATGAAGAGAAAAAAAAGAAGGAAAGGTGGAAAACAATGGACTTTGCACTTTCTATCGAGACAGTATATAAATCCCCGACAGGGTAAATGCAGGTGGAGAAGATCAGCTCACAAAGAGCGTAAAGAAAGACTGGCGCTCACACAGGGAGTGGCATCCAAAAGAGCTGGTTAGCGCCTACGCCCCATACACACCATCGTATCATTATTTAAATTACTCACCCTTGGTTTCCCACTCGTGAAGTTCATCGAGTACTTTCTTTTCATCAACCACTGGAAGCCCCAAAGAACGAATTAATGTCTCCATGAGTTGGAAACTGTAGTTGAAATCCGGCTCATTCCAGTGATCAAAGTTACAGTGTCCCCACTCGTTTCTTACTTTGGAGCGCACATCCTTAGCATTTGTTTGGACGCGCGTGTGAAACACGGATGAGTTGGCCAGCATTCCTAAAACTGCTGACAAGTCGCATGTGTTATCAAAACCTGAAAATAGGCAATAAGATTTATACTTTAAGTTAGCATAAGGAGTTATATATGCATACAGGATACATTGTCAGTAGAAGCCTTCTTGAAGTCTTCTTACCTTAAAAGATACCTTTTACGTTGCATCCTTTTGTACTCATGTTATCTCAGTTTAAATTCAGCCATTACTTAGTAGGCTCATTTAACTATTATTATACTCTTGCTAAAGCTTGTAGCTCGTGCTCGCTAAGGTGTGGACTCCACAGCGTCAAACCGTTGCCAATGTTACCCCTGCTTTACACAAAGGTGAACAAGTTGAGCAGACATCACATGTCATGGCTAAGAAGCGAGATAAGGCCGTAACCGAAGAGGGGATTTTTAGTGTGATCATTTTGTGTGAACTGGAGAGAAAGATCGAGTCAACTGACAAAAAAAGCTATGTAGGTGATATCCTGATCTGTCAGGATAGTTTCCAAGTTGACAAGTATGGTTCTTGACTGAAAAAGACTTCAGAGTCTCGTTGGGCCGAGAGTCTTTTCGACATATATATAGTGCCAAGCAACCTGTGTCAGAGACTGACGTGCCAATACGAAACTGCAAGCTGATCTAGAACGATTATATATTCTCAAATTTGTTTCTCGTCATTGTATTCCACTGTAAGTAATAATTATCAGAAAGATGAACAAGAGATTTGAGATTTGACATTAGTGTGGTCTGTACTCTTGGCGACAACGATAATCGTCACCACAGTGGTCAAAATGTGCGCCTCGTGAGTATACAATAAATTTTGACACTGATGACAAATATAGTTGTCGATAAGACTACAGACCACGCTAAACTACTATCAGTTTGTTTTCACCACAATATCAAAATTTCCGAGTCACCCATGTTTGAGAGCTTATAAAGGCATTGCGTGACACGTTGACGCAAGCAGCGCTGTTTGTACTCTTATCAACAACGGCGAATTGGCCAATTACATTGCGACATTACTGCCAATTTTGGTAAAATAAACGCTCACCTGTAAATTTGGCCATGTGTGGTTCAAGGTAAAGTTTGGCCAGATCCTCAGCAGATGCCACTTTGTAATCATAGAGATGCACCTTTCTCTTGAACCTTCCCCAGTTGTTGTTGATGCTGCCATAGTTTAAATCAAAAGAACCATCTCCCTTCATGTGAGTGGAATAAACCTGTGCATCTATTCCACTGGAACTCTTCAATGATGTGTAGTGTTTAGCAAGTTCCTTGCCCGCAAAGTCACGGAGAACTGGTGATAGAAGCCTGTTTAATGTGATTCCAATCACAACCCATCTTTTTTGTTTGTCACCCAAATTAAAGCTGCTGACTGTAAGAAATTACAAAAGAAAAGAACAGTTTTTGCCACAGACTGAAATAGATCTCATCCGAAATGTAGGTTAACATTGAACTTTAAGATTTTAGGTTTACAATTGTAAGCACTTGGGGAAATCTCACCTTTGGTTTCGAGGAAGTAGCCAATTTCACAGACTATGAATATTCCTTAGCCTTTTTTCAAGCGAGCAAATATATACATCTATAATTCAACTTCTACTGTAATAGGGCAATGTTACCTGTTAAACATGCCTCGGTATTACACCGTTGAATAGGGCAAAAACCCAGAATATGATGTTAGATATGATGTTGGACTAATAATATTCTTGCCTAAACTTCGCCATATGTGAAGTGCAGGCTCAAATATGAGGTTAGACATGCAGGAATTGGTCTCCCTTTCCTCTTTATTTGGCATGGCACCTGACATCGGTTTGTTTTCTTGCTTGGGCTTATAATTACAGAGAAGTAAGAACCATCCATACTGATCACGTGAACTTCCATGTGCCAAGGATACATTTTCATCAATTTTTTTCCTTACAAATTCATTTAACAGCGATCAAGGAAAAACATGATCAAAACAAGGCTGAAGTCAGTGATCAGGGAAGGGGGGGGGGGGGTACGGGTTCTTTCTAGTAATAGGCCAAAGAGGATGTGCCGTTAGATGGGGTCGTATTATGATCGTGTTACGTTTTCAAGAGGAGTGGTTGGACGAAACACCAAATATAAACTAATATCAAGATCCTTCAGAAGGCACCCTAACACTCTGCTACCAATCCTTCATCAGATTGGGAAGAAGTTTGGCTCACAACATAAGACTAAAGGTTACAAAAGCTACTAAGAAGCTTAGCAAAAACAAAAGCTACAAAAAAAGACAATTATCTAATAACTTGTAATCCTGGTGCCAACAAAAGTTGTTTTTGCGGTTGTCGCATGATGTATGCCACCTGGTGTCACTCTTTGTCGGTAACTCCACACCAAAGGGGTAATCTTTTTCACAATTTATAATCACTGTGTTTGTTTTCTTTTAGGCAACACTTAGTCTTTTCAACGAATGGAGTTGCACATTTTCTGGATTTTGGGGCCAAGAAAATTCTGGTAAGTAGGGCTTCAAACATACATGTCCAATGCACCCAAACCGTTGCGATTCGTCCACGGTCATTGACGAATCGTCACACCGGATGTCGAATCGTGCGTTAACATACCGGAAGTCGAGAGACGTACGTGAGCAATGAGTGAAACGAGTGGCATGGTATGAGAACATGACAACATGAACCTTCCACGTTCTTAAAGCGTGAAACAACCAGAAGTCTATCGTCAGAATATTATAAACTAAACAGTGTGGCAAATGTTGACGATTCGACACGATTCGACCAGTCAGCAAATGACGATCGGTCATACCGGATGTCGATTTGCAGAAGAAGACATGGAGCTCCCATGTTCTTAAAGCGTGAAACGACCGGAAGTCTAAGTGTCTTGCTAATCGACATCCGGTATGACGGGTCGTCATTTGTTGTGACGAGTCGTTCGACTCGAGTCGATTCGTGTCGATTCGATAACATCTTCAACCCCCTATCGCAGACACTTGCGGTATATTTTCTGAGTCTCTTGCAAATTGACTTCTAGTATGCGTTTCCATGTCATAAGAGATGGTTTCTCAGACCACCCGTATCACAACACCACTTAGTCGCGAATCGACATCCGGTTTGACGATTCGCAGCGGTTTGGGTGTATTAGACAACCCTCGATTCAAAAGAAGTAGGATTCTTTACCCTTCGGTTGGAATCACAAAATTACATTTGCTCAAAAGTCATTAAACTGGGGTCTATAACTGACCACAGAATGCACAATAATGGAGTAGGGGTTTGAAGAGGGCGGTGGCACAAACCCAGCAAAAATTGACTCAACTACCCCCCCTAACCCCCAGGGGTCAGTGGTATAATATTTTTTTCTGAGTCACCAGACATAAAATATCGAGATTCTCCTAGAAACAGAGCTACCTGCCACCCAAGGGCCTAGAGGTAAGGTGTGAATTTTACTATTACTTAAAGGTAAATAAGAAAGTTATTGTACCCACCAGGGCCTGCTGCTGCTGCTGAGGGACTGGTGAGAACTGTGGGTATGGCAGGAGGTCCTGGAAGTGTTGTTGGCACAATTAAAATAGGGGTTTTGCTTGTGCCTGTTGCCATGGCAGCCTAAAAAGTGATCAAGGCTATTAGCAAACTAAGTTATTAACACAGTTATGAACATGAAGCTATGCCTACATATTTCTTGTAATGCATATGAAATTACTGAAAAAATATTATACTGTAATCAATATATGTGCAAAATAATGGAACTAAAATTATTACTTCAGAGCTAAAAACCTTTAGGGGGTCATAAACAGGTTCCCTTTTGAGATAGGAATGATAACAAAATCACAGGAGGCACTACCTTTTTTTTCATCATCATTTTCATTTATTTAAAAAACAGCACCACAAAATTAGAGTTAATTCAAGTCAAAATATTTTACCTTGTAATCAAGTCCCTGTGAGGTTGATTAGTCAAGTAACTCATTTGTCAGTTTCCTTTGCGCCATTAGAAAAAGGTAAACGTATTTATATCACAATGTGAAAGGTATGTTACTCACACACTGTACATGCTAGAATCAGTTGTCCGTGTTTAACAAAACTACTCATGAGAATGGCACAATTGGTGAATTATAAGCTTGGTAAAATGGAATAGAGGAAACCTTTAATACTTTTCGTGAGTTGCTTTATTAAAGAGCACAATTTGTATAATTCATAAGCTTCAAGTGGAGTTAACTTTATTGATATTTGTTGTATCTTTGTTCATTCAGTGCTAAGGCTTTGGAAGCTCAGCTTTTGGTCTTTTTTTCTCAGTGTTGCAGACCTTTGAATGTTTGGAACTTTATTGTGCCATTCTCCTTGGATAATCAATCACATTTACAATCCTTTCATGCTAAAAAAAAAGAACTGAGGCCAGAAAGTGAAGAAGATCATTACTTATTGTTGGTAGAAGGGGGAGTATTATTGACATGTGTTTATCGCATCCTTTGTACCCAGCATCCCCCCCCCCCAGCCAAGAAAAGAGACATTTTTTCCAACCACATACTACCAAGAAGTCATGTCCCTCCCAAAAAATATGCAAGTATTACCAATCAAAACTGAACTGTAATAGGCATTTTCCATCGATTAGGTAGAAATACACGTTAGGCATAACTACATTGATAAAAAAAATTAAAAGAAAGCATGAATTCGAGCATATATGGCCCACCCAGCCCCTTGGTCGAGAAGAAGCTGGAGTCTGATTCCAGTGGCTGTACTAGCATTAATATATTTCACCGTTTCGATTCATCCTTGCTAAACGTTTTGAAAAGTTTCAATATTCACTTATAAGGGCTTAAAACATTCCCATCACCCCACCATCTTAGAGCGCAGTGGAATAACATCGTCAACATCCACGTCTAAAATATATATCTTAAGCTGCATCCAGAGAACCCCAATCCTTTTCGACATGCTAAACTTACCAAACAATTAAGACTTGTATGTTATCTATGGTAAGTTCCTATAAAACTCGCAGAAGTCGAACAAGAAATCTGCGTTCAATGCAAAGCAGGCGCTATACTGCTGAACATTTTTCCGAGAAATGACGTGCCACGTACTCCCAATATTTACGATTCCCAGAAAACCGGAAGCCTACAATACTAAAGTTCAGCGGACAACACAAAGTAACTTATGGCATACTATAATATCTGATACATGACCTATAAATACAGTTCACTCGCATCCTGGAAGTTCTCTTGCGCTTTCGGTTTACGAATTACTTCGACCGCATTCGAACATGGATTTTTTTCAACCCAGAAAACTTAAATCTGGAAAACCAACTCAAAGAATCGTATGGCTTAGTGGATTTTTTAATTTCTCGAGCTAAGAAGGGCGAAGCATCTTGCCAAATTCACCTTGATATACCGCTTATTCTAGCGGTCAAAGGATTCGTTGAGAAGGACACCGAGAAAGCTATTGGCTGATTGTTTTAATCCCTTGGTTTTACTAGAACTTGGTCAGTTACTGGATCTTACGGGAGAGCCACACAACCAGCGAAAGGCGTACGATTTGTATCACAAGGCAGCCCGTCTGGGAAGTACTTCTGCACAGCTTAATTTAGCTGAAATATATCGATATGGAGTCGGGTAGTGGTAGACGAAGATATCAAAGAAGTGTTTGAATGGTACAAAAAGGCGGCAGGGGAAAGTACAGTCGAACTTAGTAAAAGAGGGGATCTTTAGGTCTTCTTATTGCTGGAACTATGAACAAAATTGAGAATTCTCGTGATGATTTTCGACATAAAGCTTTGACATCTTTGTACAAGTATTATCTTCTTGGTGATTGCCCAGAAGGGAAACCGCAACCAACGAAAGCTGTTCACTATTTGACCAGAGCCGTGGAACTAGGAAATACTGAGGCCCGGCTGAACCTTAGACAGATATATTTGGAAGGAAGTTGGGAGCAGATTAGGGACTTAAGGAAGGCGAAACGGTGGCTTGAAAAAGCTTCTGCTAGCGGTTATGTCGAAGCTAATGAGGTTGCTGTTGGGACTGTTCTTTTAATGTGTAGAAATTTACAGACAGGCACCATTTAGGCATCTTTTGAAGTTGATCCTCTTAGCATGTGCTTCTTTTAGCTTTTTTTGCAGTGGTGCTGTTGTTGTTGTTGGTTTTTTACCTGCTTTTTATTTCGTCGAGCCCAAAAGTACTGTAAGGGAGAATACAATCTAAAATCGGAATTATGTACCTTGACACAATGAAGTGCCTGATTTTGTTGTAGCTGTGGGAATGGGTACACCTCAAACGAAGCTTGCACCACTTTCTCGAGTTGCAGTTCACATGATGAAGATATAAAGATTCTTCATGACAAAGCACTGAATTTTGCCAAAAATGGCAACAAATACAGCAATGTTGATGTTTGAATTCTCCCAAGGTGCCATTTATATATGGTAGGATGTGATGTGGTTGCCACTGTTATCAATAAATGAATCTATTTCTGTAATTTATGGGTGACATTGCCTCAATAACACACATTAACCTTTTATTAATTTTGTCTCACTGATTAGCTTCTTCAGCAGTGCCCAGGGAGTTATGACACAAAGCATGACATGTCAGAAGTGTCAAAGGAGGCATTTGAAAAATCATTTGACGTTATGAATGAAAAACTGAGGCAAAGAGATGATGCAGATAAATACCCATTAGCTATTTATCAACCTGTGGCTTTTTCAGAAGAAATGCTTCATTAGAGAGAAATTTCCAAATATGATTCCTGGACTGCTGAAAAATTAAGAGACACTGCAGTAAAGGTTTTAAAGGAGTATCTTGTAGAGGCCCCACACTGCTACAAGACATGCCCAAATGTTTGTTTCTACCTGGAAAAAATTTATCTGCTAGAAAGAAACATGGATGAATTCAGGAAGTATTTTGAACTGGGACAAGATGCTGAAGAAAATAGACTTCCTCTCTTAGAAAATGTTGACCTGCCATTAAAGGATACAATGGCACCTTTCTACCAACTTTTTGCTAATGTGGAAATAAAAGCAATGTGTAGAAACAGGGCATGCACCAAAAATGTCAAAGAGAGTGACTTGAAATCTTGCGGTCAGTGTGGTATGCAAAAATACTGCAGCAAGTACGTACCTTCACTTGAACTGTTCACTCTTTTAACTTCAGTTGGCTTTGTATTTTAAGTTTCTGTTTTTTGGTCTTAAGTATTGAGGCAGGTGTCAAATTTTCTTATTCTAAGGTAAATATTATTATCCTGTGTTCTGTTGCCTAGAGCAACTTGAAGTATGGTAAGATAATTTTCACATTGTCACAGCTGCCAAATTACTGAGCCAAAACATGAGAATGGCGACCATGTTGGTGAACCAAATCATTCTTACGAGATTGAAAAGCCTTTCTGATGTAAACAGTTTCTTCTGTTCCAATAAATTTACATAGCTGCTTATCACCAGAATGGAAAGGCTCTACAACTACTTCCCCTGGATGGGGGATTTCAGGTTACTAGCCAGATTTTTGTCAGGCTTAACTGACAGTTCTCTGGTGCCCAATTAAGATCTTGGGTGGAGACAGGTGCAGTTACAGGTCAGTGTAAGTGTCATGCCCAAATACAGAACACAGTGACCTGGCCAGGACATGATCCAAGATCTCTTGATGCAGACTTCAATGCACCAACCATAATGCCACCACATCTCCTACCAATGTTAGGCTGACATTAAAAGATGAGTCACCCTTTAAGTCACTGCTATGGAATTAATTTATTTTTTTATCCCTTTTTGGGGGGCTTTTACTGTCATTGTTGTTATTTTTTGATAGTCCAGAATTTCTTATCAATCAGGGACTATTTGTTCAAAGAGGATATTTTAATCATTTCTAACATGTATCAGCTGGCACCTGTCACTCTGAAACTCAGAAACATGTAAACACTCAAAATATTACATCGTGTTTCTAGGAAAAAGCTACATAAGCGTGAGGAAACAAATCCAAAAACTTAAGTGCTCCATAATTTGACATTTTGAAATCAGCTTGCTTCTCCTGATTATTATTGTGATTGGTCTAAAGTAATTCAAAGTGTCCATGTTTTCTGACTTTCATGGTAAATACATCAAACGAACAAGCTAAGTGCAAATTGTAATCACAAAAATTCAAGAATGAATCTTCTCATGACTTTTGACGGTCTATGTCTTAAAACCCAAAATTGAAGTTCATTTTTTCTATAGATTTAATTTGATTTATATCCTCATGTGCCATTATGTCTTGACTCAGATACCAATTCTTTCACATTTTTACAAAGGGAGTATCAAAAAGCAGATTGGAAAAATCATAAACCTTCTTGCACTGCTGCCAAGTAATCTGGACGTCCCTAGGTGAGAGAATCACAGTCTTCACTAAAGGCAAGTTGAAGAGCAATGTGTTAACTTCTGTGCTTCTTGATGATGATGCCTTGGATTGGCAAAAGCTTGGAGTTTTAAAATATTTTAACATCAATATTACAGTAGTTTCAGGCCTCATTTGAACTTTTGCCCATTCAATTATCTAAAATGCTACTAAAGGACAACATTCAAGGATCTGTGCCTCTTTAATTGTTGATTGAACATCAACCATTTAAGTTTGATTTTTTAACATAGCATTGGACAGTTAATCTGTCTTTCCACTTTAACGTTGCATTGCAAAATAGAGAAATAATTACTTATCATGTATTCTATGCATTAAGAATTACTAAGAATCTTTTTTTAAAAAATAAGTTACTTTCAAGTCTGATTACCAACAAACCTAAAAATAAGGGTTTTGATCGTGTGTTTGAAAGAGTATTAGTCAAAATGACTACTACTGGTGACTGCTTGACACCTCAGAAAAAGATGTGGTAGTTAAAATCTTTGGGGCATTTATTGTACTGAGAAACTCTGACTACTGTTGTTGTTGTTATTTTTTGATAGTCACATGTAACATGTATCAGCTGGCACCTGTCACTCTGAAACTCAGAAACATGTAAACACTCAAAATATTATGTCATGTTTCTAGGAAAAAGCTACATAAGTAAGAAGAAACAAAGCCACAAACTTAAATGCTTTGTAATTTGTCATTTTGAAATCTGCTTGCTTGTCCTGATTATTACTGTGACTGTTCAAAAGTAATTCAAAGTCTTCATGATTTTCTGAGTTTCAAGGTAAATAAATCAAATGAACAACCTAAGTGCAAGTTGTAATCACAAAAATTCAAATATGAATCTTCTCATGACTTTTGACTGTCTATGTCTTAAAACCCAAAATTGAAGTTCATTTTTTCTATAGATTTATTTTGATTTATATCCTCATGCGCCATTATGTTTAGTTCTGTAGATTGGCCAAGCAGAGTTTTAGGCCTTATGTTTTGACACAGATACTAATTCTTCTTTCACATTTTCCCAAGGGGAGTGTCAAAAAGCAGATTGGAAAAATCATAAACCTTCTTGCACTGCTGCCAATGTGCCTACATGAGAGAACCACAGTCTTCATTAAAAGCAAGTTGAAGAGTTGGAAGTTGATGCCTTGGATTGGCAAAAGCTTGGATTTTTAAAATATTTTAACATCAATATTACAGTAGTTTCAGGCCTCATTTGAACTTTTGTCCATTCAATTATCTAAAATGATGCTGAAGGACAACATTCAATGATCTGTGCTTCTTCTTTTATTGTTGATTGACCATCAAACATTTAAGTTTGATTTTTTAACACATAGCATTGGACAGTAAGTCTGTCTTTCCACTTTGACATGGCACCGCAAAATAGAGAAATAATTACTTATCATGTACTCTATGCAGTAATAATTACTAAGAATCTTGTTTAAAAAATAAAAAGTAATTTTCAAGTCTGATTACTGAAAAACCTAAACGTAAGGGTTTTGACAATCTGTTTGAACAGGTATTAGTCAAAATGACAACTATTGGTGACTACTTGACCCCTCAAAACAATATGCAATAGTTAAAATCTTAGGGGCATTTATTGTACCAAGAAACTCTGATATCTAAATTATTCTCAGACCTTCACCACTTCTGATAAGGAGCCAAATGATCAAGATAAATTGTTAGTTTTCCTCCTGGCTCACTAAACATGGCCCAGAAAAAGCATTTCTTACTTGTAAACTTGTGTAAAGCTCCAAGAACGCCACAGTCCATTATCACGTTGAAGATTTCTGGACTTTGTATTTCAAAATCTATGGTGACGCTTTGGTCGTAAAGTGTCAGCAACTGCAGTGGGTGGCTGTTCAGACTTTGTGTTTGAATTTTGACAATAAACTCCTTGTTTGATTCTGGTTTTGGACCCTCTCCAATTCCCACTAAGTGAGAACCAAATATCCGCGACCTCACTACAAATCCTTGCTTAGCTAGGGGAGGACAGTCAACGTCCACAGCGTAACGAGTTTTAAGAGCGAAACATAATGTCTCGTGTTTAGGTTGGTGGTTGCGCCGGCATTCCTTACTGCAGTATGATGCAATGAGGCATCCTGGGCACTTCAAAAAACGCACTCTTTTGTCTCTTCGACGATGGCAATAAGTGCAGCCATTGCAAAGTCGTTCAACCAGCTCTCTGGGATGATACATGCCTTCCTCGTTGTTAAATTGTTTATTTTCTTCTAGAATGGGAGGCTTCGAATAATACTGTTTTTCACCCTCTGGAAGCATATGGCCCAGAGCATCAGTCTCTTTGTCGTTAAGTGAACGACAATACTCAAGCCAAGGGCCACTGTGATCTCTTACAGTATTTGTCTTTAGATGAACCCTCCCAGAATAATTGATACCAATAAAAATTCCTCCACACTTGTTACCACTCAGTTTGTTTCCTACTATGTATGCCGATGTTCGCCCTTTAGCGAGGATGCCCCAGAATCCATTCTCGAAAATCTCATTGTTGCTTATAACAATTTGAGTATTATCATCACCAAGGGAAATACCAAAGGGTCTGTTGTGATGGATACTGTTGTTGCGTAGGGTTATCTTCTCTTTTGTGATGCCAGCACGGATGCCTTCCGTTGCATTTTCAAAAATCTCATTGTCGTTGACGTCACATTTCCCAGGGTACTTCCAAATCAGAATGCCATGATCACCATTGTAGAATATCTTGTTTCCAAGAGCTTCAAGTTCTCCTCCTTCCCTTGCCTCTAATCCAACTTGGTGGTTTTTGTACACTTCGCAGTTTTTAACCAATAGTCGAGAATCTTTCCCAGCAACAAGGGCACCTCCACCCCCACACTCATGAATTACACAGTTTTCAATCAGTCCAAAGCCCTCGACTGAAATCCCGACTCCCGGAGAGCCACCTATGCCAGACATTGATTTTGAATCACCAAAGTTTCCCGTCCGATCACAAGCAGAGGGCGCCACACAGCCTGGACCTCCATTACAGTCTGGAAAGTCCTCACAACTTGTCTTTCCTCCTGAAATATCACACTGATTTAAATGTACAGTGCCATCTTTTCCAAAGCAGATGAGAGCAACGTTCCCCTTAGGAAACACAATATTTTCAAAATAACATTTGGCGCGGAAAATAAAGCAAGTTTGTGTGCAATGCAAAATAGTTTTGGATCCAAGACCTACAATCTGAAGGTCACTTGAGGTTACAAAGGAGGTCAAACGGTATTCTCCTTCACGTAACAACAAGGTTTCGCCTCCTTGTGTTGTCTTCAAAGCAGACACTAGTTGTGTTTCATTGGATATAACGCTGACGCAGAGTTCTAGCGCTTCAGGAAACATCTGACAAAACACTTTGTCTTGGCGAAGATTGGGATCGAAGTGAAGGGCGACTGCCACTGATGCACGTTTCTGTCCTTCAAGCTCACAATTTCCACCTTCAACAAGTCCTCGCAGGGCCCAAGCTTTTCGTTGAAGTGCTTTGCTGTAATCAGGTTTTAAATAAAGGCATTTTTGACAATCTTCCAGAGCATTTCTTGATTCTCCAAGTTTCAAGTGGCAGAGGGCCCTGTTACAGAACAGCTGGTGGTCATCAGGCCACAAATCAATGGCTCTTGTATAAAGATCCAATGCTTCTTTGAAATTTCTTTTTTTGAATGCATCGTTTCCTTTTTCTCTGAGTTGGTTGGCTTCCTCCTTCCTTTCATTAAGAGAAGAATCTTCTTCAGCCAAGGCCTTGTTTTCAAGAAGAGAGTTTCTCATACAACAAGTTATCACCTTGTAGTCCTTATCTTTCAAAGGTACATCGACGAAATAATGCGGTAAGTGGAAATCTTCCTCAAGTGTTGGCTTTTCAAGATGTACTAGCAACTCTAGTTTCTTTTTTTGCATTGCCTGAGCTTTTACTTTCTCCTGCGAAACACTGAAAAATATCGCTGCTTCGTTAAAGACACGAACAGTTGCATCAGTGTAGAGCAAAGTATGCAAACTTCCGGCATCATTTTCATGTATCGCTAGGTAGCTAAGTAAATGTTCTTGCAAATAGGTCGAGTGCGAAGCCAGCTTGCCCCACAGTTGTAACGAAGGAGGATTCTCGACGCTGAAAACAGCATCTTCAACGAAACTTTGGCAGACTTCCGCTGGCGAGCGTGTTTTTGTTAACGCATGGTTAAGTGCGTCCACCGCACAGCAAAGTATACGCACTTCAGTTTTGTCCTTTTCAATCTCACTTCGGATAACGTCTTGCACCAGACGATGAACACTGAAAGAATCTGTCCCATACCTTTGAAAAAGGGAAAACTTTGTAAGAAGCGACACTGTCTCGGCTGCATCCCACAAATCGCTTTCTTCCTGGCCGGAAGTTCCCACAACGTGGAGCCCTTCGTTTATAACCTGATAAGGAATGTCATCGGGACCTAGATAGGCAGACATTTTCATGACAATTGAGGGGGTTTCTCCAAGATCCATCTGTTCTGACATTTTCTTAACGTGCTCAAAATTTAACGACCATGTTGTGTGAACTGCCAATCTCTCAGGTGATGTATTTTCCACCAGATTACGAGCCTTCTTCTTCTTCAAGAGAAGCATCTTTTGTTTTCTATACTTCTTCAGGTATTCTTTGATAGGCTGGCGAAGGGATCGGATGTAAGCAGCAGCTTGATCAAGAGCTAAAGGCAGTGCGCCAAGCTCTCCAACCAACTCACGAAAATCGTTGTCTTCTCCGGCTGTCCCACTTCTTGTTTTTAAAAACTGAACTCCTTCTTCCTCCGTGAAGCGTTTCAACTCAATACAAGAGCTTTCTTCGATTCCCATTTCTTCTCCGATTTCCGTTGCTTCTCTCCTTGTGGTTATGATGATATGACCACGTGCAGCCTGTTTCCAATGACCAGTCAGCAGTTTTCGCATATCCATGGACATTTCTAACTCGTCCAGATTGTCAACCACTAGACACCACAGCTGCTCGCGCTTTCTCAACCAGTCCAAGGTTCTTGACAGCGAATTAGGAAAGTCTTTCTCATCAAAAGTTCCAACTTGACGTGCCATCTCGCTGACAGACAACTGAAAAAGGTTGTTGTTTTCGCCCGAAATCCAAAAAATACCACCGGAATATTCCTCCTTGTCTTTCTGTCGCCAGAGAAACTCGACGGCAAGAGATGTTTTTCCAACACCCCCGAGACCGCAAATTGCTGATTCAGAACAACCCCTCGTATTATTTTTTAATTGCACTGCAATTGCTTTTAGCTCACTTTCGCGACCACAAAAGCAACGATTGCGTCTGGGCAGTTGCAAAATGTTAGCATCGACTACAGCTTCAAGATTACCCTCTTCTAACCTTTTCAGGCGAGAATCTAACTGAGTTTGTCCGAACTCTAAAACCTCCACCTTTGAGGTAAGGTTGCTCTCTCCGTCTTTTAAAGAGGCTACAGCTGATTCTACCTCATTTTGCCTTTCTTCCAACAAAGAAATGTTTTGTTCATTTGTATCTTGGCGTTCCTCTATTATATTTATATTGTTAGAAATATCTTCAATTGCTGATGAGAATTCTCTGTTCTTTTCTGATTGCGCCTGGAGCCCTTCTTCCAGTCGACTTTCAATGTCGGCTATACGTTTCTTAAACTTCGTTATTTCATCTATGGCGTCTTGAAGAGCTTCTCCTATCCTCTTGGCTTCATCAGCATTGAATTTCTTTATGGCCTCCAAGTTTTTCTCTAAGTTGGTGACCTCAATACTGACAAGTTTCATCAAATCCTTGTCCACTGGGCAACCCATACACAATTTCAAACCTGCCAAGAAACAATTTAAATGGATACAACATCTGCCATGATATGATTATTTTACCTTGGGTAGCCAAGGTGCCTTAAATAATGAAGAGAAAGAAATGAGAACGAAAGGTGGAAAACAATGGACTTCACACTTTTCATCGAGACAGTAGATAAATCCTGACAAGGTAAATGCCGGTGGAGAAGATCAGCTCACAAAGACCTTAAAGAAAGACTGGCGCTCACTCAGGGAGAGGTATCCAAAAGAGTTGGTTAGGGCCTGATACGCCCCATACACACCCTCATATCGTTATCGAAATTACTGACCCTTAATTTCCCACTCCTGAAGTTCATCGAGTACTTTCTCTTCATCAGCCACTGGAAGCCCCAAAGAACGAATTAACGTCTCCATGAGTTGGAAACTGTAGTTGAACTCCGGTTCATTCCAGTGATCAAAGTTACAGTGTCCCCACTCATTTCTTACTTTCGAGCGCACATCCTTAGCATTTGTTTGGATGCGCGTATGAAACACAGATGAGTTGGCCAGCATTCCTAAAACTGCTGACAAGTCGCATGTGTTATCAAAACCTGAAAATAGGCAATAAGATTTATACTTTAAGTTAGCACAAGGAGTAAGATATGTTTACAAGATACATTATCAGTAGAAGCCTTCTGAAAGTCTTCTTAATCTAAAAAGATAACTGCTGCATTGCATCGTTTAGTGCTCATGCCATCTCAGGTCAAATTCAGCCATTATTCAGTAGGCTCATTTAACTATTGTTACACTCTTGCGTAAGCCTGAAGCTCCTGCTTGTCAAGGTAGTGACTCGACAGCGTCAAACCGCTGCCAAAGTTACCCTAACTTTACACAACAACTTGAGCAGACTTCACATGTCATGGCTAAAAAGCGAGATAAAGACGTAACCGAAGAGGGGATTTTACCATAATCAATTTGTGAACTGAAGAGAAAGATCGAGTCAAAGCATTAAAAAAGCCGTGTAAACGATATCCTGATCTGTCAGGATAGTTTCCAAGTTGCAAGTATGGCTCTTGACTGACTTCAGAGTCTCGTTGGGCCGAGAGTCTCTTCGACATGTGTATAACGCCAAGTACGCCAAGCGACCTGTGTCAGAGATTGACGCGCCAATAAGAAACTGCAGGCTGATCTGGAACGATTACATATTCCCAGATTTGTTCCTTGTCATTATATTCCACTGTAAGTTATAATTAGCAAAAAGATCGACTAGAGATTTAACATTGGCGTGGTCTGTACTCTTAGCGACAAATTTTGACTGTGATGACGAATATCGTTGTCGATAAGAGTACAGACCACGCTAAACCACTATCAGTTTGTTTTTTACCACAATATCAAAATGTCCAAGTCACCCATGTTTGACAGCTTGTAAAGACATTGCGTGACACGTTGACGCAAGCAGCGTTGTTTGTACTCTTATCGACGATGGCGAATTGGCCAATTACATTGCGACATTACCGCCAATTTTTGTAACTAATCATTCACCTGTAAATTTGGCCATATGTGGTTCAAGGTAAAGTTTGGCCAGATTCTCAGCAGACGCCACTTTATAATCATATAGTTGCACTTTCCTCTTGAATCTTCCCCAGTTGTTGTTGATACTGCCATAGTTTAAATCAAATGAACCATCTTTCTTCATGTGAGTGGAATAAACCTGTTTATCTATTCCACTGGAGCTCTTCAATGATGTGTAGTGTTTAGCAAGTTCCTTGCCCGCAAAGTCACGGAGAACTGGTAATAGAAGCCTATTTAATGTGATTCCAATCACAACCCATCTTTTTTGTTTGTCACCCAAATCAAAGCTGCTGACTGTAAGAAATTACAAAAGAAAACAACAGTTTTTGCCACAGACTGAAATAGATCTCACTTGAAATGTAGGTTAACATTGAACTTTAAGATTTTAGGTTTACAATTGAAGCATTTGGGGAAATCTCACCATTGGTTTCGAGAAAGTTTCCAATTTCATAGACTATGAATACTCCTTTGTCTTTTTTCAAGCGAGCAAATACATACATCTATAATTCAACTTTTACTGTAATAGGGAAACGGTAAGTATTAAACATGCCTCCACACTACACCATTGAATGGGGCAAAAATCCAGAAAATGATGTTGGAAATGATGTTGGATTAATAACATTCTTGCCTAAACTTTGCCATATGTGAAGTGAAGGCTCAAATATGAGGTTAGGCATGCAGGAATTGGCCTCCTTTTCCTCTTTATTTGGCACCTGGCATCAGTTTGTTTTCTTGCTTGGGCTTATAATTACTGAGAAGTAAGAACCATTCATACTGATCATGTAACCTTCCATGTGCCGAGGATACATTTTCATCAATTTTTTTCCTTACAAATTCATTTAACAGCGATCAAGGAAAAACATGATCAAAACAACGCTGAAGTCAGTGATCAGGGAAGGGGGGGGGTTCTTTTTAGTAATAGGCTAAAGGGGATGTGCCATTGGATGGGTTCATATCATAATTGTGTTATATTTTCAATAGAGTTACAAGAGTAGTGGTTGGAGGAAACACCAAATATAAACTAATATCAAGATCCTTCACTTTACACACACTTTACACACTTTATTTAGAGTTACAAGAATAGTGATTAGATGAAACACCAAAAATAAACTAATATCAAGATCCTTCAGAAGGCACTCTTACACTCCACTACCAATCCTTCATCAGATTGGGAAGAAGTTTGGCTCACAATAGAAGACTAAAGGTAACAAAAGCTACTTAAAGAAGCTTAGCAAAAACAAAAGCTAAAAACAAAGACAATTATGTAATAACTTGTAATCCTGGTGCCAACAAAAGTTGTTTTTTGCTGTTGTCACATGATGTATGCAACCATGTGTCACTCTTTGTCGATAACTCCATGCCAAAGGGGTAATCTTGTTCACAATTAATAATCATTGTGTTTGTTTTCTCTAAGGCTACACTTAGTCTTTTCAACAAATGGAGTTGCACTTTTTTTGGATTTTGGGACTAAGAAAATTCTGGTAAGTAGGGATTCAAAAGAAGTAAGATTCTTTACCCTTCCGTTAAAATCACAAAATTACATTTGCCCAAAAGTCACTAAGATGGGGGTCTATAACTAGCCACAGAATGCAATATAATGGAGTAGGGGTTCTGAGAGGCCAATGACACACACCCAGCAAAAATTGACCCAACAACCCTCCCCCCCACCCCCTCAGGAGTCAGTGGTGTGATATTTTCCTTTGTGTCACCAGACAGAAAATGTTTAGATTCTCCTGAAAACAAAACTACCTGCCACCCAATGGCCCAGAGGTAAGGTGTGAATTTTACAGTTAAATAAAAGTAAACAAGAAAGTTATTGTACCCACCAGGGCCTGCTGCTGCCGCTGAGGGACTGGTGAGAACTGTGGGTATGGTAGGAGGTCCTGGAAGTGTTGTGGGCACAATTAAAATAGGGGTTTTGCTTGTGCCTGTTGCCATGGCTGCCTAAAGAGTGTGCAAAGCTATCTGCAAAGCAAGTTATTCAGTTAACACAGTTATGAATATGACGCTATGCCTTCATACTTCTTTTAATGAATATGAAATTAATGAAAAAATATAATACTGTAATCAATACGTGTGCAAAATAATGGAACTAAAATCATTACTTCAGACCTAAAAACCTTCAGGGGATCATAAACAGGTTCCTTTTTAAATCACAGAAGGAGGCACTACCTTTTTTCATCATCATTTTCACTTACTTAAAAAATAGCATCACAAATTAGAGTAAATTCATGTCAAAATATTGTACATTGTAATCAAGTCCCCTTGATGTTGATTAGTCAAGACCAGTTTACTCCATTTACTAACTCAGCTAAAATATATAAAAAAGTAGATAATTTTGTCATTCATTTGCCAGTCTTCTCCACGCCATTGGAAAAAGGTAATAGTATTTATATCACAATGTGAAACGTATATGATGTACATACTGTACATGCTACAATCAGTTGTCTGTGTTTAACAAAACTACTCCTGATTGACAAATCATGAGAATGGCATGATTGGTGAATTATAAGCTTGGTCAAATAGAATAGAGGAAACATTAGATACTTTTCATGAGTTGCTTTAACAAAGAACACAATTTCTAATACATAAGCTTCAAGAGGAGTGCTTTGTTGAGATTTGTTGTATCTTCACTCATTTAGTGCTGAGGCTTTTGCAGCTTACAGTTAAAGTTCCGTGTTTTTTTTCTCAATGTTGCAGACCTTTGAATGTTTGGAATTTTATTGTGCCAGGGCCATTCTCCTTGGATAATTAATCACATTTGAGACCATTTCATTCTAAAAATAAGAATTATTTAATTCAGGCCAGAAAGTGAAGAAGATAAATCAATTGGACAAACATTACTTATTGCTGGTAAAAGGGGGAGTAGTATAGACATATGTGTATTACATCCTTTGTACCCAGCTTCCCTCCCAACCAAGAAAAAAGACATTTTTTTCCAACCTCTTACCATCATGAAGTCATGTCCCTCCCAAAAATAATTATGATAATGTAAGTCCCCATTAACAGTTCAAATATAATTTATTATATATATTAGGAAAAACTATATGTAAGTATTAGCAATTAAAACTGAACTGTAAATGGCATTTCTCATCGATTAACCGAAGGTTTGACAAATATGCGTTAAGCATAACTACACTGATAAAAAATTAAAAGATAGAATGAATTTGAGAGTAAATGGCCCTTCCCCCTAAGTCGAGGAGAAGCTGGAGTCTGACCTCACTGGCTGTACTTGCATTGGTATATTTCACCGCTTCGATTCATCCTTGCTAAACGCTGTAGAATATTCCTCAATTTCGTCATTCCATCATTCCATCGAATGACGTCATCCTGATGAAGTCAATGTATCGTATTTCGGACCTTGCTCGCTTCGTAAATTTAGCTGCTCTACTGAGCATTCGTTGTTGATTTAAAGGGTAAAATGATCTCTTTTCGAATAAGTAAAATTTTCCTTCAAAGTTTCCACGATGTGCAGATCAACATCCACGTCTAAAATATACATCCTAAGCTGCATCCTTGTCGACATGATAAACTTACCTAACAATAAAGCCTTGTATGTTAACTGAGGTAAGTTCATCTAAAACCCTCAGGAATCGAACAAGAAATCTGTGCTGAACATTTTTCCGAGAAATGACGTGTTAGGTGTTCCTAATACTGCAATACTTTCAGCGGAACAAATAACTCATGGCATACTATAATGTCTGATATATGACGTACTAATATAGTTCACTTAGCATCCCAGAAATCCTCTTGCGCTTACTTCGTCTGCATTCAAAAATACAGGTTTTTTCAACCCAGATGACTTTAATCTGGAAAACCAGCTCAAAGAAACGAATGGCTCGGTGGATTTTTTAATTTCTCGAGCCAAGAAGGGCAAAGTATCTTGCCAAATTCACCTTGGTACCGCTTATTCTAGAGGTATCGAAGGATTCGTTGAGAAGGACACTGAGAAAGCTATTGGGTGGCTAGACACAGCTGTCCAAAATGGTTGTTTTAATCCCTTGGTTTTTACAAAAACTTGGTCAGTTACTGGATCCTACAGGAAAACCACACAAACAGAGAAAGGCGAACGATTTGTTTCACAAGGCGGTCCGTCTGAGAAGAACATCTGCACAGCTTACTTAGCTGAAATGTATCGATGTGGAGTTGAAGGAGTGGTAGACGAAGATATCAAAGAAGCGTTTGAATGGTACAAAAAGGCGTCAGGACTGCTGAAAAATTAAGAGACACAGTACTGAAGGTTTTAAAGGAGTATCTTTTAGAGGCCCCACAATGCTGCAAGACATACCCAAATGCTTGCTACTACTTGGTCAAAATTTATTTGCCACAAGGAAACATGGATGAGTTCAGGAAGTATTTTAAACTGGGGCAAGATGCTGAAGAAAACAGACTTCCTTTCTTCGAAAATGTTAACCTGCTATTAAAGGATATTATAGTACCGACTTTTTGCTGATGTGAAAATAAAAGCAATGTGTGGAAACAGGGCATGCACCAAAAAAGTCAAAGAGGGTGACTTAAAATCTTGTGGTCTATGTGGTATGCAGAAATACTGCAGCAAGTATGCACCTTTACTTAAATTGTTCATTCTTTTATCTTCAGTTAGCTTTGTATTTTAATTTGCTATTTTAGGTAAGTCTTAAGTATGAAGGCAGTCTTAGTATGAATGCAGGTGTGAAATTTTGTAATTCTTAGGTAAAGAATATTATCCTGTGTTCTGTACGATAGAGCAACTTGAAGTATGTTAAGATCGTTTTCACATTGTCACAGCAGCCAATTAGTTTTTTGTTTTTGTTGTTTTTTATTTATTTATCCAGGGGCATCCAATTTAGGAGAGCTAGTTTAAATGGAGCCCTGAAAGAACAAAACAAAGACATTAAAACATTAAAAACCAGTTGAATATGTCTAATGTTTCTCGGATGGGTGTTGAAAGTACTTAGCAGTTTTTGTGAAGGGAGGGCACAGTAAATCATGGCTTCTGGTGTTATATCCATGGAAAAAGTGCATGTGCCTGAACTCTGAAAGTAAGTACAAAGACACTAATCCATGGAGACATTTACAGACTAAAACACATTTGAGATCATTTGTGTGGGCTTGTAGGCTGGGTCAGCCAAGTGTTGATTTTAACTCCTCAGCCCCAATTGACTGACCTTCAATAATACATGTGGCACATCTAATCAGCTCTTGTAACAATGGCAAGACTATAGTATTGTAGAGCATTTGGAAAGTTGGCTTGGGGAGAACCTTCTGCACTCAATGCAGAACACCTAATTGAGATGAGATCTTTTTACCAATATATTCTATGTGGTCCTTCCAAGATAGAGTGTTTTCTAGGAGGACCCAAAAATATTTCAACCTGTTAAGCCTTTCTTAATGCATGTGACTGATTTCTATAACTAGATCATCAGCCTCTGTGGTCCCCTGATGGGTACCAACAAGCATAATCTTTGTTTTTTCAAGGTCAAGTATTAGAAAATTATCATGGAGCCAGCTTAGGACATTAGTTAGGCCACTGGTTAACTGAGCTTGAATTTCACAGACTGACTTGCTCGCCAAATAGATAAGTGTATCATCAGCATAAAGCTTGAATTAGTGAACCAAAACATTAAAATGGTGACCATGTTGGTAAACCAAATCAGTCCTATAAGACTGAAAAGCCTTTCCAATGTAAACGCTTTCTTCTGTTCCAATAAATTTATATAGCTGCTTGCCACAAGAATGCAAATGCTCCATAATTACTTCCCCTGGATGGGGTATGTCAGGTTACTAGCCAGATTTTTGTCAGGCTTTCCTGACAGTTCTCTGGTACCCAATTAAAATCTTGGGTGGAGAGAGGTGCAGTTACAGGTCAGTGTAAGTGGGTAAGTGTCATGCCCAAATACAGAACACAATGACCAGGCCAGAACTTGATCCCAGATTTCATGAAGCAGAGTTCAGTTTCCCAACCATAATGCCACCACATCTCCTACCAATGTTAGGTTGACATTAAAAGATGAGTCACCTTTTAAGTTGCTGCCATGGAATTAATTTCTTTTTCATCCTTTTTTTGGGGCTGTTACTGTTGTTGTTGTTATTTTTTCTATAGTCCAGAATTTCTTATCAATCAGGGACTATTTGTTCAAAGAGGATATTTTCATCGATTCTGAGATGAATCAGCTGGTACCTGTCACTCTGAAACTCAGAAATATGTAAACACTCAAAATATTATAATGTTGTTGTGTTTCTAGGAAAAAGCTACATGAGCATGAGGAAACAAAGTCACAAACCAAAATGCTCATTAAATTGTCATTTTGAGATCTGCCTGCTTGTCCTGATCATTATTGTGATTGGTCAAAAGAAAATCAAAGTGTTCACGATTTTCTGAGTTTCAAGGTAAATACATGAAATGAACAACCTAAGTGCACAAAAAATTCAAGAGTGAAACTTCTCATGACTTTTGACTATGTATTTATTAAAACCCAAATTTAGGTTACTTTTTTTTCATCAATTTAATTTGATTTATATCCTCATGCGCCATTACATTAAGTTTTCTTGATTGGCCACGCAGGGTTTGAGGCATTATGTTTTGACACAGATACTAATTCTTCTTCCACATTTTTATGAAGAGGGTGTCAAAAAGCAGATTGGAAAAATCATAAACCTTCTTGCACTGCTCCCAAGAAGTCTGGACGTCCCTAGGTGAGAGAACCAAAGTCATTGCAAAAGGTACATTGAATAAAGATGTGTTAACTTCTGTTCTTTTAGATGATGATGCCTTAGATTGGCAAAAGCTTGTGATTTTTAAAAGATTTTAACATAAATGTTACAGAAGTTTCAGGCCTCATTTGAACCTCTGTCTGTTGAATTATCTAAAATGCTACTGAAGGACAACATTCAACGATCTGTGCTTCTTGTTTGATTGTTGTTTGACCATCAACCATTTAAGTTTGATTCTTTAGTAC